TGGGACAGTAATATTGAAATTGGGTAAACTGTGTAAACTTACAAAACAAGAACATATATTACCATATAATTTGATTTGCTTACAATGTCCCCATACATGAAGAACAAATACATGTTCATAGTACTGTAGCACTCGATAGAATGAAGATATGCACTGATGATACTAACAAAGATGAGAGATGTATATAACTAATATACACAAGAATAACTTCGGTTACTATTATAGACACATACCACAATAAAAGGATGAAAGGATTGGGAGGGAATCAAGTATCTCTTCGAGTTTCTTCATCTTCTTCGACTCCTTGAGTCTCATCTAGCATGTTCATCAGCATTGTTATTTGATCTTGGAGCACTGAGTTCTCTCTCTCTACCTCTGCCCGCTTGCTTCGCTCTCGCAAGAGCTGGACTTGTAGGTGCTCCAGGCACTTTGCATCCTCCTCCAACTGCTCGTTGAGGCCATTGATTTCTCTATCCTGATCTCAACATTTCGCATGAACTTCCAAAATCAGCATATTTTTTCAAAGATGGGTTAATTGCCGAAAGGCCTCATGTATGGTCGCCAAATTGAATTTAGTACCTCTGTAGTTCTATTGTTGAAATAGACTACCCTTGAGCGAAAATTATTTCACCAGTTTCAGGGGTACTATCTGCAACGATAGAACTACACAGGCAGTAAGTTCAATTTCTGATAGTAGTGGGTCTATCCACAATTATCCCTTAAAGATATTAGTCAATTTTGTGGTTTTTTAAGGGTGCACATGGCCTTATAGCTGTTTGGTTGCTCAGAATCCAAAAATCTGGGTGAACTTGTTCAGAACTGCAGAATTCCAGAACATGCAGCTTGTTGAATATAGTCGGAAACCATAAAATGCAATTCATGTTCTTGGCTATTTGACTCTTGATGTTTTAACCATAAGAAGATGATTGAGCTTCCCCTTCTCATCTTGGAGGACAAGCATGTTATTCGTTCCATGCTTAAGTTCCATTATGGTAAGCTTTTAGAAGGAAATCCTGAATTTTAACGACGCACGGCAAAAGAAGTTTACCAGCAAATATCCAAATAGTTAATTCCCCCCAAATATTTAGAACTTAAACAAGTTGAATTGAGCGATTACGATCATTCATGTTAAAGCTACCTTCCACTACACAAGCTCCGAAATTGTGATGATGATTTAGAGTTATAGTTTTATATTCTTACATGCGCTTGCAGGTTGCGCGCCCTTTTCATGGGCCCAAACCTTTCTTTATAAATCTACTTTAAATTCATGGTTTGTAGAATTTCAACCCGGGTTACTCTCATACAATGTTAAAGTCTTTCCAACACACTAAAACTCTGAAGTTGTGGGGAGGGTCAACGGTTACAGATTTGCACTCTAACAATTCTGAACCTATTTGAGATGACTAGGAAGAAATAGTTTAAAGTTCATGACGTTGAGCTATAAAGACACAAAAGGTAAAAAGGATTCTTGGTGCAAATCAGCTTCATAGTACTGTGCCAGAACAAAAATGTCAAAAGTTACAGATAGCTAATTAGTTTACAACATACCTTTCTGTTCATCTCCTGGACAGCAATTCGACGCATGCTCTCAACAACATCAACATTTACTAGTTTCCTCCTTTTCCCAAGCAGCCAACCCTTGGGGTAGGACGTGGGGTCAAAGTCCGGTGGGGGCAGAAGGATTTCAGCCGGTGTACGGAGAGACCCGATCTTAATGGGCTCCAAGGGTTCGAAGAGGGCTTTACGGCGCTCAGAAATACCTGATTTTGGGTCCTCTTTTGTTTCATCGCCTTCAGCATCTTTCATAGTTGTATCATTAGAGGGCACTTTAAGGCTCTCTTCCTTCATTGTATTATCCAAGCTTCCCTCCTTTGCTACATCATTTAAACTCCCCTCCTTCACTGCATTATCCAAGCTGCCCCCTTTCATTGCATTATCTAAGCTCCGGCCAGCAGCTGGACGTTAAAGTTCAGTCGTTAACATTATAACTACTACAGTAATAATGAAAGCTTCTTTACTACAAAAATGAGTACTGCAACGCATTTTTCGTTTTTCAGGTTGTCGAATAGACCTATTTGTTGCACTCAATTTTAGCATCAAATTGGTTTTGAAGTCACATTGTACTCAATTTGGAACACATTTCAGATGACATTCTTTCAGCTGTTCTATGAGAATATACCAACTTGCCACTTTACGTTAGTGTCTGTTTAATTGAAACAAATGCAGGAACGTAGTCCTAAAATCACAGCTGTGAGCAAACAAATATTCATTTTTTTTCCCACTGCAGCTGCGCTACAGTTGCAACTGTAGCAAAACAGCTTGTGGCAAGAAAGTACATAAACTTGTCGCAACTGTGACAATGAGTCTATATAACATGCATATATAACATGCATCACATACATCAATCATATAAATGGTCTGTGAACGAAATAAACTTTGATGTTCGGAGGAAAATTCACATCGGAAGCGGATGGAAATTTATTTATCGTCCTTGCAACTATAATGGAAACAATTCCGACCCGGTTGAACCATTGTAATTGCCTTACAACTAGACATGCAACCAAATAAGTAGAGGAACAGCAATTGTTGAAAAAGGTTGGCTCTCATTTAAGTCTGATTGTACAATCATCTTCTTGTTTGTTTCTTATTGGTATGACAACATCAAATCACAACGGAGTTGTGACCTACTTGGGAGTGGAGTGACATCTTGATTCAGGACCTATATTGGAACATGTTGGCAAACGGTCAAAGTGGGTCGCAATCCACTTTACGGTGTTTGGCAAGTGAATTATTTTGGATTGTAATCCAGGATTATAACCTATGAAGTTTGACCGAGTAAAAGATAATTTCCCCCCTCGTGATTTCATAAATTCCCAAACCCATTTATCAAACCATTTCCTTTCTGGTCATTTTGACAACAATGACAGATCATAATCGACGCGTCCAAGCATGTCAAGTTTGAAAACGGATTATAACCTACTAAACTTACCAAACACTTGCCCAGGACTATAATCCAAGTGGTATTACAATCCATAATATTCTATTCCTTCATTTTACCTTCTCCTATTTTCTCTTAATTAATATCCCCCGAACATATTGCTTGGTCACATAAAATACCCAACTGAATTAGGTCACAAAACGATGGGAATAAATATAAAACTAGTTCTAATTGCACGTTGCCACATACATACATATATTAATAATAATAAAAAGAAACAAAAAAGGGGGAAATTGAATCCTAGGCTCAATAATAATAAGGGTAGGGCAGAAGACATCTTTGGGTCCCAGTTCATGCCGGTAAAGCTAAGCAACCACCTCTATCGGATCCCAGTTCCCTCACACAAAAACACCCTCCATCAATTTTCTTTTTTGCAAATCAAATCGATGATAATAAATAAACATGAATTAGGAGAGGGGGGGGGATACAAAAATTCAGAAGAAATCGATTCTCGAGAATTTTTTATTTTTTTTCTTTCTTCGTCACCTGATCGCTTGCGAGAGTTCCAGAAGATCCGCGGGGGCGAAGCCGGAGAGAATTCCATTCTTTAGATCCTAAAATTTCATCAAATTCGCAGGGGAAAAAAAGTGGGAAATTAGAATGGAGAAAGGAGAAGGAGAGGATAACCAAAGAGCCAAGATCTTTCACCTGAGCTCTTTTTTTCTTTATTCTTTTTTCTTTTTCCTCTTTTTTTTTTTTTTTTTTGAAAAATTTCGCTCCTTTTCGTCGGCCGAACTCCTGAGGGACGAAAGGGGTTTGTTTTAATATCGTCGGCGGGTTTGCGACAGCGCCGAGATGAGGTGAAGGGAGGGCGAACAAAACGATTAAAAGCTGCTCGTTGAAGTTGTTTCCGTCCACGCGATTAAAAGGCGAACCCAGTATTCCCCTTTCGAGGTTAATGGGACCCACCGCGTGGGACCCAGTGGGGGTGGAGGTTGATTTTACGCTGCGCACAGGACAGTACACCCCCGGCTCGTTCGGACAGAGATTTCGAGGTTGGTGTGCTTGTTTCTTTTTTGGGAAAATTGCTTGGAGCAACCAAAGAAAGTTGGGCTATGCATCCCCACCCCAGACCCAAAAACCATAACCAAAAAACCCTAAAATTGAAAAAGAAGTGTATGTAACCCCCAAATATTGTGTAAACCCACTGCCCAATAAATCTATTCCCAAATTACCCTTCCCAATTTAATATTCCCACACTACAGTACCTTTCTTCCTCCTTGAGCCTTTCCTCCTTGAGCTGACCCGAAGAACTCCCCCTCCCCAAACACGACAAGCCCTCGTCATCCTCCCCCTCCGCCTTCGCTTTTCGTCCGAGAAAAACCCCTCGCGCTCCCTCTCCCTCTCCCTCTTCTTCTTATTCTTCTTCAACCTCCAGATCTCGAACCCTCACTCAGAAACGATCTTCGCAGACGCCGCCGGCGACGCCGAGGAAGAAACATGTTTTGAAAATATTTTAAGGGATGAAAACGAAGACTTAGTTATTCTACAAACACCCCTCGAGATTTTGAGTTACGATTTTCTCTCAAAATATCACTGTCGTCAACGTCCAAGGCATCAACGAAAATGGAGGAGCTAAAGATCACAAAGCTAGACGATTGGCACCTTCACCTCCGCAATGGCGATATTCTCCAATTCGTCGCATCTCACAGATCCATTTTCTTCTTTTTTTTCCATTTTTTGGGATTTCTTTTTTAAATGGGAATAGGGTTTGATTTCTTGATTTCGTTCAGCGCGAGTGAATTTGGGAGGGCAATCGTGATGCCCAATCTGAAACCGCTGGTGACGACAACGGCTACGTCGGTGGCTTACAGAGAAAGAATTCTGAAAGCATTATCGCCGAGCTGCAGTTTTGATCCTCTATTGTTTGCGTCGAAAATTGTTGTATTCATTGCGATCGAATCTATTACAACTTTAGTCATTACAATAAACTCGAATAAAATAAAAAAGTTGATCTTTTTATAAGATCACCTTACACAATGAAAATAAAACAAGTTTATAACTTTATCAAACAAACGCAGGGAGATCGTTTATCGGTCTTCTGCTTGCGTGGGATCTTTGCCTGTGCCGGGGTTTATCCGTGGACCGCCTTAGATCTGGATCCGGTTGATGGAAAATTCGGCAGAGCTTCGTCTTCGCCGAGGAAGTATTTGATTTGAAGCGCTGAGATCGACCAAGCGAAATCAGGGCTTTGAGAAGGCAATGAGGCAGATGTGTGGGCTTAGATTGGGGAGGAGGAGGAAGAGGTTGAGAAGCCTTGATGGAATCTCTTCCAATGTGGTTATTAGTATAGTTAGTTTTGTGCAAATTTATCGTTTGGACGGTTAACAGAGTTCATCGGTTTGTAAAATTTGATAAGGAAATGGAAGTCAACTTGTTTACTTTTGCTATAAAATTCTGTTTGTCCTTCATATGACAAGCCATCTTAGAATTGCTCCAGGTGTCCTTTTATGGAAGTCAACTTGCTTATGTGACATATGATAGTTTCATGTGACATATGACGGTTTCATGTCACATATGCTGTTTTTATGTGACATTTATTGTTTATACGTGATATTTAGGTGTTGTATGTGATATTTGGTGTTGCTTGTGACATTTGGTGTTTATACGTGATATTTGGGTGTTATATGTGATATTTGAGTGTTGTATGTGATATTTGGGCGTTACTTGTGACATTTGTTGTTTATACGTGATATTTGGGTGTTTCTTGTGACATTTATTGTTTATATGTGATATTTGGGTGTTGTATGTGATATTTGGTTGTAATTTGTTGATAGTGAATGTGCTTATTTGTCATATGGCTGTAATTTGTTTATACGTGACAGATGGCTGTAATTTGTTGTATGTGATATTTAGATCTAATAGAGTCATTCCACATCCTCCTTCATCACCATCCCCTTATTCTTTTTTACCCACCAAGACCCAGGAATCAACAACCAGCAACTCGTTCTTCAAATACTCCGACACTCCTCTTTACCTTCAACTCAAACTCTCCCTTTTCACCATTCCACCCTTGCAACCGTGTGCAAAATCCCTGACGGATTGTGCCAAAATACTCCGACGCTCCTCTTTACCTTCAACTCAAACTCTCCCTTTTCATCATTTCATCCCTGCAACCGCGTGCAAAATCCCCGGCAGATTATGCCAAAATACTCCGACACTCCTCTTCACCGTAGCATATGTCACACAGAACACCAAAATATCACATAACAGCAGCATATGTCACATAACAACCATAATTTTGAGCTTTGAAATAATAAAGTAATAAGACCTTTTCACACTTTGATCTAAATAAATTTACATCAATACTTAGTACCCAAACATAGATAAACATGCCAAAGATAAACCAAATCAAATCCAATTATTCAAACACTTCCAAAATATTTGCAGGACAATCCACTTTTAGACCTTCCCCTCTTCCAAGTAGTAGAAATAGAAGAAGAAGAATCAACACCAGGTTTCAATTTTAAATCATCACATTATAGTTACATGTGTTTGTCTAATACTTCCACTCAATCAATGGCACATTATTACCCCCAAAGTACAAAAGATATACTGGATCACCAATATCTAACTTCAATCGTAACTTCTTCCATTCACCACATTCGCATATTATTTGAGCAGCAAGTCCTGCTCCTAACATCTCAGACTCCCTTTGCAAGGCTTCAATATTCATTGTCTCCCTTCCCTCTAGGATCGCCTTGATGAAAAATATGCATGTATGCCACAATCATACCTGTAAAAATATCACATAACACTTAAACTGCAGCATATATAACTGGTAATGAGAATATATCATACAGAATGTAAAAAATATCACATAACAGCAGCATATGTCACATAGAATACCAAAATATCACATAACAGCAACATATGTCATACAGAATACCAAGGTCCGCCAGGATGCAGTCCTCACGTGTCACCCCCTGCATCTTGCTGCTGCTACTCCTCTTTCTGAGGGCCTACAGTTTCTCACATCACGTGGGGGTTTTGCACGCCCCGCGCTCACCTGTGACCAAAACAATAAGCTTATTAACCTCGTCCGAAAGACAAAAGGACTGGATTAAACTTCTCAATTTTAATACTATTTGTAGCCTAAACTTCTGACTGTGATAAATTAACCCCAATCCGAAAGTCAAAAAAAAGTACAAGATTAAACTTCTTAATTTTTAAATTAAGAGGGGTTTTCCATTAACCACTAATTGACATCCTAATCAATATTCGGGCACCTCCATGTTTGGAGCACCATGTTTAGTATGAAAGAAATATTATCAAAGCAATTAAGCTGAGACATCAGTAAATTCTCATTTTAATTAATGAGCTTAATTGGTAACGATGTTCGGTGAGTGATTAAAAATTGGCTTGACAGAACGAATATTCTTTTACTTTCAGATTCCTCAACGCTGGAATCTTCAACTCCGGCAAAGACACCGGCAACACTCTGCCCACCTCGGCCACTCGAGCCGCCATGCTCGTCCGCATCAACACCCTCCTGCAAGGATACTCCGGCATCCGCTTCGAGATCCTCGAAGCCATCACCTCCTTCCTCAACACCAACATCACCCCCTGCCTCCCTCTCAGAGGAACCATCTCATCCTCCGGCGACCTTGTTCCTCTCTCCTACATCGCCGGAATGCTCACTGGACATCCGAACTCTAAAGGAATCAGCCCTGACGGCTCCCATATCGACGCTGGCATAGGAGAGAGAACGAGGAGACGGTGGTGTTGGAGTGGAGGTTGCGACGTCGGCGTTGGTGGGGGAGGGGGGGCGGTGGTGGGGAGGGGAGGGCTTGGGCCAGATTAGGAGGAGGAAAGAGATTGGGTTTTAAATGGGAAAGAAAAAGGGTAATTTGGGAATGTTTTCTTGGACAGTGGGTTTTAGGGCTTGGTTGCACTTCCTTTTCAATTTTAGGGCTTTTTGGTTATGGTTTTTGGGTCTGGGGTGGGGATGCCTAGCCCAATTTTCTTTGGTTCCTCCAAGCAATTTTCCCTTCTTTTTTTAGTTACTGCTCGGCCTTCGGGATATCCGGATTCGAATCGAATAGTCCGGCCCCAAATTACTGTGGATGTTCAACTCAGTTGTTTCTGTTTGCCCAAGTGGGAAAAAAAACAACTTTTTAAAAAAGCTTCTTGATTTTATTTTTTTATCAAGAAAATTTGTGTCAATGCCTCAAAAATGAAAAGCACAAGTTTTCAAAACAGACTCAGCATAAGTTTTAATTTTTAAAACCGACTAGCTTTTTTTTAATACAAAAATCGACCCACTTTTTACCACGTCAGCTTAATCCCATTCATAAACAGTCGGGGTTGACAAACCCGACTGTTTAGGAGGTTGTTAAACCCTAATTAGAAGCTTTAAACCCGATTTTTTATGTTCTAAATAGTCGGAGTTGGCAACCCCGACTAACTAGAAAATAAGATTAAGCTGACGTGGCAAAAAAATGGGTCAATTTTTGTAAAAAAAAAATGAGTTGATTTTGAAAATTAAAGGTTGGTTTGAGTCTGTTTTGAAAATTTCTTCAAAATGAAAACTTCGTCCCCCGGACCCCCGTATTTTCTCCTAATTAACCCTCATCCTCTCTCTTTTCATCTTCCCCTCGGACCCTGTCTTCTACCCCTCCCTCATCCCCACTAATTCGACAAGTTCTCCTCTGATTTTGCCGTCATCTTCTCCTCTCTCGACCACCTCCCCTCCTCTCTCGCCTCCATCCTCAACTTGGTTTTTTTTGGAGATTGCTTGTAAAGTATTTGATGAAATGCGAAAGAGAGATGTGTGAGGTCCCTGTAAGTTTAATACTTTGATTTGAAAACAATATTCAGTTTTTAATTGCCTTCTTTAAAGGGAAAAAATTTTCAATTTTATGTGTGATTGAGCAGTAGGTCTACTACTACCAATCGACTACTGTAAAGAAACCTTAAAATTAAGCTAGAATGGATGCAGGATACATATTGGCATGTTTTGATATTAGTAAATAGGTTAGATGCAATATGTATACAGCTGAAATTACGTTATTAATGCACGAAGGTTGTTTGAGACCAATACCTACTCTTGACGCTCCAATTCTCTCTTCACTCGATTGTCTGTCTATGCGACCGACAGTCCGAACACCTGCAACGCAAGCCTCCAAGTTACATGACAACCCTTCATATTAATTCCTCGTATTGACGAAGCGTTACCTAAATCTATTCGATTCCTGACCAAGGCTAAAAGTAAAGGCAAACTCAAAAAAATTACAAATTACTAACATGAACAATATATCAGCTCAGTGGCGGACCCATGCCTGTTCACACTGGTTCAGTTGAACCACCTGATTTATAAAGTATGCTACTGATGTTTATCAATATGGAGTAGCATTTGTCTTTAAAACTAGCTACTGCTTGTTTTGTTGCAAACTTGCAATATTATTTATCAATATGAAAGAGTATCATTTTGTCTTTAAAGTTAGCTGCAGATTGTCTTTTTACAGGATTTAGTAGAATTTTTTTTCAGAAGGTGATAGTGTTTGGGAATATTTTGAACCAGCGCCGTTAAGGCTGTAGATCCGCCACTGTATCAGCTTTATGCCAGAATCTCAGAAGGAGAATCAATATAGAAACAACTGCAACCCAGTGCCAAAAGAGATATTCACTCGGCAAAGCAAATAAATTTGGGCAACTCGCTGAAATCTTCCAAAATTGAGCTCTGTAAAGAGTAATGTTAGCTGTAGGAACTGTACAATGGCGCTTAATTTGGGCAACTCTTCTTCTTTTTCTCTAAGTCTGGTATCAGAATCCTGTACAGTCTTTATCAAGGTGTACAAAATGCCAAAAGAAGTTTTGAGTACTCTTCAACAAAAAGGTCTGGGAGAGGTTCAGCCTCCTTGTGGTGGTGCAACTTCTAGGCAGCGGACACATGGGGGTTCCACAGGACCAAAAAGGTCTCGGAGACAGCTGTCGTGATAAGAATGGCTGCATGGAAGGACTGCAGAGAAAGGAAGCTCATCGGGTCGGGCGCCGGAGTTTTTCGCCATGAATGCCAAATCAATCCCACATAGCTGGCACCTCTCTCCTAGGGGCAGAAGAGGAGTTGATTCTTGTTGAGGTCCTGAAACACAAAGTTCTTAGGAACTCTTGATAAGCATAAATAAAAGGGTTAGTTGCACACCGACCCCCTGTAGCATCATCGTTTTGAACTAACTACCCCTGTAGTTTTATTGTTGCAAATAGACCCTCTGAGTTAAAAAAAAATTTACCCTTTCACCCTCAGAGGAGAGTTTTTTCCCCCTTTCGTTTGGCAAACATAGAGCTAGAGTAGTAGTAACCTCAAAAACAGAGGTACTATAGAGGGTCTACTGCAATTAACCCATAAAAGACAGTTCAATTGCAGATACTTGTATTATAGGGGTCTGTCAGGTATTATCCCCAAAATTTTATGAACATCACCTCCTCATGCCCAAACGGTGTTATCTCTCTGTAATCTGTATCTATCATGTGACTCTCACGTGACATCAACGTGTTCAGAGAGAACACCTGGTATTTCACTGTTCTGCAGAGAGACCCCTGTTCTCTTATAAATGTTTGAACATGCACCTCTTTAGTACAGAGATAGACAACAGGAAAGACAACTCCTTTTGGACATCAAGGAATCAAACTGCTTATAGAAAACCTTAGGGATAATAAATGGCTAACCTCCTTCAGTACAGTGTCTACAGTTAACTCCAAATCAAAAGAAAATAAAAAAGAATATATTAAGTAGTTCCAGTTCATCATGGTGGGAATTCATGGTAGTTGCTTGATTGGTTAAGGTGGTTTCTTATCTCCGTAGAAAGTTAACAAATACGAGGTGGGAGATAACAGAAGATGATATGGTAAACAAGTTCCCCTTCGTTATTCAATAGTCAAGACTTATATTTTATTTATTATTTTTTTGATAGATATGCAAGACTTATATTGATTACGAAGATAGTAAAACTGCAAGAACAATGCAGATTTTCTTGCAAATTTCTTCTGTTTAATATCCACACGTCCTAAGAGCACAGGTAGCAGTATGAGTGAATTGTTATGCCAATGGTCATATAATCAACAGGGTGCATCAGTAGGTAAGCAAGAATACCAGGATGGTCAGTACTTTATATAGCATCTTAGGAGGTGGTCCATAATTGACAGGGTGCATCAAAAGGTAAGTCATCATCATTATTCATTTAAAATTAATCAAATCTAATAAGATTAAATCAAAGATTCTTCATTACAAAGATGAGGATGAAGTGAAGAAATCACATTGGTACAAGAAATATCTGACACTGATACCTCCATGAACAGAAGATCTCAGGTAAATGTAAAGTAGTGTAAAAGCTCTAAAGTTTCTTACTGCCAGTTCACAGTTATAACGTTTGCAGACTACAAACATCTAAAGATGTTATCAGATTGGGAATGAGACAAGAAAGACATACCGGGAACTTTGATATGACACATCTGTGTCTGCTGCGAAGAGCGCGGCACAGGCTGTTTAAGGCTGGCAGTTTTTGCAGCATCTATCTCACTGAGGTCCTTATTTATTGGGACATTGTTTGATTGTATGGTACCTCCAGTTTGGATTTTCTTGGGCAGTGATTTACTGATATCAGCACCAGATTGAGGTGCAGCATTGCTACTCGCACTTCTGCCTGCAATGAGAAAATAAGATTGAGGTCCATGATAGGAAATCTTAAATGAGATGATAGATGGTATTGTCATAGATAAAATCCACACCTTGAGCGGGAACATTGGGAGCAGACATGGTGGGTTTGCTTGCTGCTGGTCGGACTGCTATCTCTTTCTCTTTGCCTGAAGAAGTGGAATTCTTTTCGAATTGGTTGATTCTGGAAGCAACTTTGCCTGAAGGCGGAACTGATGGATCCATATCCTTATTAGACAGGGAGGAAAGTCTTCGGGAATTCAGGTTAACAGGGTTCGGGCTTGAAGAGGCTACGCCGGAAAGATTAATTCTTTTGGTAGCAGTTACTGAAGTTTGTTTCACTGCAGCAGCATTACCTGCAGTATCAGCTTGCATGGCAGCACTGGTGCCTGCAATAACAGAAATCAGGAAGGAATCCATAAGGGAAGCATGGATGAAAAGATTTTGGAGAAATGATAGATGTGAAGTAACAAAAAGTAGTTCAGCAGTCGTTCAGAGAAAATTTAAGACTTTGCACTGAAACATGTACACTTAGTCTTGTATGTTACTTCTCCAAATTTGACTTTGGATAAAGAAAGGAGCGATACGCTAAAGACTAATTGTTGGCATCAACAGTAGGCATTCACCCTAAACTTTTGGATAACGGCTTTGTTGTTGTAGCAACAGAGGAATCATCAAACAAGGATGACTAGCAATTGTTTTCTTAAATAGTAGTAGGCATGGCTGTTTGAACTATAAATTAGAACTTGGTGGTTTTTAATTCGTTACGTAATATTAATGGTCCAGTTATACTCTACACCTAGGTTCTTGCAGTAGGCATCAAGAATCAAGGCACAAATTGATGTCCAACATATTATTATTCCACAATTAGTTCAACATTTAACAGATAAATTAGCCATATATGAAGAATCAGGGTGATGAAATATAAAAGATATACCTATAACTATGGTAACAATTAATAAATAATCATGAGAAAATATGTTAAATGTGATCGATCACCACTTCAAAAACAATCCATGACTAACATGCTTTCTTCTTAAAGTTGATGAGTTAACTTGAAAAGGTAAAATAAAGTTTGTCACTAATGTTATTAATGTGCAATGCACAATGTGGGACGCAAAGTTCCTTTACGCGCAAACGCACAAGGCACAATGCGATGCACGCGCCCTAGTGATGTGATTCGCACACCACACACATAATTATTCAAGATAGATAATCAAGCATGAAAGATATGTTTATGAATTTTCAAGCAAATACATATGTCAAGATAAATAGTATCTACTATTGAATCACAAAATAAGATAATAATTCATACGAACACACCAAGCATAGTCGTAAAGTTCATAATTTTCCAAATCAAAAGTCAAATCAAGAGTAATATCGAAGAAAAATCAAGTAGGAGACAAGAACAAGTGCGGATCCTCAATTGGGCTAGTAAAATGGCCTAATGGTTTATTTTTCTTTTTGGGATATGAACTATCAGGCACAAAGATCCGGTTCAAATGTTAAAGAAAAGAAATATATACAAGGCTATGCCTCGCGTGCGCCCTGTGCAAAGCACCCTCACATATGGCGCTTGCACAGTGAAAAAAGGAGCTGTCACATCAAATGCGGGGCACTGTGCCACCTCCCCACATCACCAGGGTGCATGAGATGCGGCACACGCCTTTGATAACACTGACGGTCACATAAAGATATGTGGATCTTTTCAATAAAATCATGATTGTTTATCCATATATATGTAGGAAATCCCAGAAGGAAAAAAATCTTCATAGAGATTCCAATATGGGTCAGAGAGATCAAAAGTGGGAAATCCATACATATAATGTAAAAACTTTAAATTCCTGATGCAGAATTCACTCTCCTCCGAAAGCTCCCACTGTACGGAATATTATGAAATGTGCATGTAGACAAGAAAACTGGACCTACTTTCATGGTTGTTCTGGCGAGTCATACATGGTTGCAGCTTCAAAGAGGACACAGACTTCTCAAGTTGCTGAGTTCTAGGGCCATTATTCCCAAGAGGGTCTTTATTTTTCAAGTCGGCACATGTTTCAGCAGTATTTTGGTCTGAACTCTTGTTGGGCAGTAACTTGTGGGGGCCAGCATTTGTTTGGGGAACAGAAGTAGACCTTGAAGCACTGGGTTTTCCTGCAATAGTAAAGAACATCACTGCAGTTATGATTTTGAAACAACATTCAAAGATCTGGATAAGACTACAAGCTAGTACTGAGCAAACAAAAGACCTTCAGCATCACATTTTGAAGTCCTTGTAAGTGGCGCAAATGTTGACCCCTTGTCATTACCAGATAGAGTGGAAGTGCCTCGAGAACCATGAGCAAGAGTTTTAAGACCTGACGCCTGAGCACTAGTAGAGCAAACATCAGTAACTGGAGATTGGTTTGTACGACAACCAATGGCTGCGGGAGCTGGCTGGAGAGTTGTTGCTGTGCCAGCTGAGTCGGGTTGGGCAGAAGAGCCAAGGCCTGCAAACCATGATAGTTTAAGGAATAAATCCGGAGGAGAATTCATGGAATTCTCTTTTCCGATGTACCAGATGTTTATATTGTATATTTTGAATCTCCCTAGATCACCTAAAATAAGTTCATGACATATATCTCCTGTTTTTTTTTCGTTTTCTTATTTCAAAAATCCCACAAGACTCAAAAATCTCAGGCCATCCGTTAATCCCAACATGTTTCATACAAGCTGATAAACCTTTAACGAAGTTACATCTAGAGAATTATGATTCCTCTTCCTGTACAAAGCACAAAGTCAATCAACTGTGTCAAAACATATTTATCAGGTCACATGAAATTTCAGCTTGATATATTTTATGCGTTGTTGAAAAACCCACTTGAATTTTCGGCCTGGATGTTATGCATTGTTAAAAAGAACCCGCCAAATATAATCTGACCTACAATACAAGTCACATGAATTTTCAGCCTGGATATATTTTATTTTTATGTTATCGAATATGTTTAGATATAGGACATTCTTAAGCACCAAAAATAATAAATTTGTTACCAACAATATTGAAAATCTGATTTCTTAAACTAATGTACTATGAATAGTCAATTTCTCCCTTGAACGTGTGCAACTAAATCAATCTCCTAAAATCAACCATCATAAAATCATGATTCATAATAATGCATCGCATCTTCTTATCGACATCTTGAAACTCGTAAAAGATATAATTATAGATGATCTATCAGATCTAGGAGCAATTCCTAGAAGGACATCCCCTGTTTCATCGTCAATAAAGATTCAAGATTTCAATTATCCAAACCTTCATACAACTCTTCCATAAAACATATCAAATAAAGCATATCTCTGTTACTAAAGATCTCAAGGTTAAAAAAGGGATCGGCATTTTCTTCTACTAATGATAATTCTTGCTCAAAGAACATCCTTCCTATCTGATTATGTTCTCCTTGCATCTGCAAAACATGCTTGACTTTGTCGTTCCATCCAACCAAGTCAACTTTGACCTTCGCCGCCTTACTTTCTCCTTCTGAGTAATAAATCCCAACTGCATACCATAATGCCTCCAAGAATTTTTCCTTTGCAGAATGTTTATCTTGATTTCTCTTACGATCAGCTTCTCACTTTTTATCATATTTCCAGACTGACAACTAGCCTTCCTTAAATATCTTTCTAGTGAAACTTTCATAAATCTAACATTTAGAAAAGCTTAACTTAACCAGAAGCTCCTTCCACCATTTTCTGCAAGTTTCTGGAGAAACTTCCTCCAAACATAATGAATATTTTTTAACATCAACCATCAACCATCAACCAGTTTTCTCAATTCCCAGAACATGTAGAACATAACAAAATTGATTAGTTATCCCTGAAACAGAAATTAAAGAGGACAAAATAATTTCATTCTGAAGTGTATGTGTGTGTACATACACATGCCAACGTTGATGGAAAATCTCTTTTATGTGACCAAGGAAATTGTCTGCTACTTCTTGTGACATCAACTTCCTCTTCTGATAACAATATTAACTCAAGCTCCCTGATAATATTATTGCATCCTTCAATCCATGAATAACTAAAAGTCCTTGGAAATTCAATCTAAACCTTCTTATGTCATCACAAAAGTTTCATCTTCTAGGTCCGTCATTTGATGATATGACCAGATAAGAGAACATGAAAAAACTCTTAATTATGCAAGGCAAAATATCACACAGTAATTTCCATCTTAAGACAATTTTATTCCTTTTCCAATCATTCAATTATCTTCCAGATGGATCACTTAATTGATCAATCCAATCTGAAGTAAAAAATTGCCTCCAGTCAAATCCTAATTTGATTAGGATCATAAAGCTTTGACAATTGACAAAACAAATATCCACTTTAATATTTCTTAGAAAAATAACATAACTTTTTGTCATGTTCCAAGGGGTTGCTCACGATATATATTCCATTGATAACAAAGTCACAAGCTAGTTCAACCAGCAAAATGTTCATTAGCCTGTTCCCTATCAACCCTCAGATGTACTCTACAAGTCACTCAACATTGTCAACAATTGACTTTTGAGGGATACTTAGATCCAACAATAGTGTTAATGAATCAAGTTCTCCATCCCTAACGAATAAAAACAATTCTATTCCATAAGGATCCTAAAGTAGTAATAGGAGACTAACCTCGCTGATAAGTCCGAGAGGATTTAGAAGCATTCAGCTCCAAGGACTGGACCTTCTTCAGATTCATTGCACGCTCCATAATCGACTCTTTGCCTTTGGCTTTCTGCCTGGCGCTCCTCCGAACCACCTGTGGTTCCTCCATACTCTCTTCTCTTTTTCTCTTAGGTAAGCATTGAGGGGAGTTGGACATAGCTTACCCAACAAAGTCTCTTTCAAATATCAGACGGCCCAACAGATAGAAATCTAAGCCAAAGGAACTACAAGAAAAAGATTATTCACTATTTCAATAGATCTGATGTTTTGTTTATGATGAATCTACTCATCTATTAACATAAGCTATTTACCCAACATAACTTAGGTGGTCATCCAGGGAAGAAGTTTTAGTTGAGCATGGCAGAAAAGGGAATGTTTAGTTTTCCATATTATTCAGTGCTAAACATTAGAAAACTGGTTGATGAAATTCAAAATGTAACCTAATGTTAAGAACTTGACTAATTTCTTGTGGAGAAGTGTTCTCTCAAGTTTCTTTAAGACAAGGAAAATAATTCAGGAAAAGAACATATAATCTTGGACTGAAGAAGCTTATTTTGCAAGTAAGATTCACAAGTTATAGATCAACACGTGGGATACATGGAAAGGATGAGTCAAACCGGTTTTGTATTAGTCTATTAGGTAGCTCCAGGTTGCTACTTCAACCTGAGAACGTTTAGTTTCCTTTCTTACTAAGATCTCTTTCTGCATATCATGTGAATCATTGAAAGGGGCAAGCACATGTTGTGGAAACCAAATTAGTTCCATTAGTAATCTAAAAGCCAATATACAAGGTGGAAGGATGTCAAGTCTTTGCAGAGGCAACACCCTCATAACCTCAACTAGATCAAAATACACGAGCTGAAAAGATAATGGTGAATTGCAAATACAGCAGAGGGAAAGTTCAATGCATGCCAAGATTGCATGATCTTCTGTGACTGTTCCAAAAATAGCAAGAGCATGTAAAAGGTCCTTTTATTGCTTAAAAAAGCTAGCAAAGAACATAGCATATTGATGTGATATATTTCCAAGACGCAAGGCGATACGCATAGAGGCATGCTACTTCATGATGTGTATGCAATAAAATTTTCATGGCCTTTTCAGATGGTATGAAGGCTGACAGAAAACTCCCAAGTAGTTAAGAGAGAAAATGAAGTATGAAACCTTGAAGCCAGATCCTCCTCCTTAGAGCAAAGAGATTGTAAAAACTAGATTGTTACTTAAACCCAACTGACAAAGGACTAACAAAAGGACCAAGATAGACAAATGTAGAGTCAATAAATTTGTGATGATTGGACTAGAGGTTGAGGCAAATTTTCTTTTTTGGAAAAGTTAATAGTGAGTTAGCTCAAATCAGCATAATCTTTGAAATTTCTCACAGAGGAGTAAGAGAAACAGTTGAGTGGCTGGATGCAATGTCCAAGAATCTAACAAGAAAACGATGAGATTAATTGCATAACATCATGAACCACAGGATTTTGTATAATTCAAATAAATATTGTAAGCATATCTTCTTTTTGTTTTTTGTATTTCCTATACTTTCCCTCTTTATCAGGAGAATCGTCATTAATGTTCTTCCATATTCTTCATCGCTAAGAAACCATATGGCATAGATCTGGTATAGAACTTATAATCAGCTGGATCCGGGGAAAGATCCCCATTACGTTGACAGTAAAATTTGAGGTAGTTCATATGAATATAAATATGATGTGGAGATTTTTCATAAAGTAGTAGGAATGATAATGTTATGACGGATAGACACTAGGATGTAGGATAAAAAATTGTGTGTGTAAGGAGGTTAGAGCTGCATCTACTGAGAATAAAACGAGGAGAAATCGATTGAGATGGTTTGGCTACATGCAACAGAGGCCGTAAAATACACCTCCTTAGAGGTAGCAATGAGGAAATCGTACTTGATGATAGAGAAAAAAAAAATACACCTCTTAGGAGGGGTGATAAGCTTACATATGAAGGAGCAAAAACGACTACAAAGAAACCTAAGATAACTTGGTTCGAAGCAATTAAGAAGGTAAGGGTAAGCAAAAACGACTAAATAGAACTGAATGGAAAATTAGGGTTCATGAAGCCAACCCCAAAGTTTAAAATAAAGGCTTTGTTGTAGTTGTTTTGAAAATTCCCCATAAAGATACTATTTTAAAAAACAAAGCCCTTCTCTAAGAATAGAAAAACCCCATTTTTGGCAATAGATTAACAACCGGGTACAACTGCAATCCACATCAAACCCCCCCAGAACCCTAGAAAGCACCTAAAATAATAGTAAATTGATGATTAAAAAAAAGAGAGTACTGATTTAAAAGAAAACACAGATTTGAGCATAACAAGACAGAGAGTTACAGAATTTGCAAAACTTCCTAAACCAACCCCATTATAAAAAATAAATTAAAGAAACCCTTTGCTATATTAACGTAAACAATCACAAAAAGATAACTAGTTAGCAAGCTAAAATCTTTAATTTAAACGAGAAACCCCTAAATTAAAAAAACCCATCAAGCTCCACGACAAAGTTTTATCAGTGTAGTCACTATTCAACCTTTTAAGAAACCCATTTACATTAACATTAGCAATCAGCTAAAAGATCACTGGTTAACAAGTCAACATGTTTATATTCAACCGGAGAAAGGCAAAAAAAAAAAAAAAACAACCTGAGACTAAACGACCATCAAGCTTCACGGTCAATTTTCATCCACAACCCCAGATTTATTTAAACCCTCAAAAACCCTAACAAAAAAAAAAACTCTATAAAAGTACTAATCAAGAACCTAAGAAAACGAACAACGGTGAACAGGTACAATGCAGTGGAATCGGAATTGGTACCGGGATCAAACAACGGCCTTCGAGTTCTTGGAAGCTTCAAGAGATCAACGAGAAATGACATGAGCAAATTGGGATTAAAAAAAAGGAAAAAAAAAGTTCTTCTTCTTCTCCTTCTTCTCTCTCTCTCTCTCTCTCTGTGTGTAATTGAGGGGAGAAGAGCGAAGGGGTTTGGTTGGGGTTGGAGGATTATATATAGGCTACTGTAGGGCCCAGTGGAACTGCGGCGGTCTGTTTCTGTTCGTGCATATGATGGTTATTTATTGATCATGTTGTTGATTTTAATAGGTAGGGATTAGTTGTTTAAGTTGATGATTAGGCACTACCCACCTTAAATTTCACAAAACTCCCCTGAACTTTGGGGGGTGTTGCCCATGATTCCCGTGAGCCTCGTTTATCACAGGTAACCCCCCTCCCAAAATTATAATTATAATAGTGACGGCAATCATCTACCTTTAGGGTGTCTCACAAAACCCTTCTGAATCTCGAACTCTTCTTAACACGCCCCCTACATGTAATTTGCGAATAACTAAAACTTTCTAAAGGTTCTCATTTGTCGGTTAGAGGCAGCATGGCCCCCTCTAGTAAAATTTGGATTGTTCCGTTGAATGAAACTGTAGTTATTCACAAATTACACGTAGGGCAAACAAGTTGTGCGAGATACCCCGCCGACGTTCTAAAAGAAAATCAAACTTCGTGAGGATTATGAGCAACACCTCCAATGTTCAAGGGGGTTATGTGAAATACAACATACAAATACGTAATAATTCTATTGCTGATGATGGTGACATTCATTCTCCTAGTCACATCTCAACGGATCAGGTTTCACCCTTCATGTCAGCTTATTTTATAAAATATAAGTTGCTTGTTCCGGAATGAATTGATTCCATGTCTTCATGTATACGATGAGTCCTCTCAACCAGACAACTCGAATTCATGACCTACATCCTTCCGTCTCATTAAGTACATCAATAAATCAATACGTAAATAAATTTAGAATATCAATCGAATTACTTTAACATTTCAATTTTAAAGACAACATAACATGCATCCATCCTCTGAATAAGAAAGTAATATGCAGGAATCAGAACCCAGTATAAACCCTCAATCTGCAGGGGGGAAAAAAACTCAAAGCGCTGAGGTTAAGTTACACAGCCAAGTTCTTCGAGAAAAAGAAAGCACAAAACAAAAGTCAGCAGCATTTAAACTTACGTTAAAAGTACAGCCAAATAAAGTACTTAGCTTTATCATAACTCAAATGCCCATAGCATGAGATACTACAAAGGAGAAGCAGCCTACAAGCTATGAAGCACGGACACGCATAACATGAAGCCGTGTCGTGTCCGTGTCGGACACACGTGTCGAAAACACGTATCCTATGTATTTTTTAGGATTTGCCTCGTGTCGGCGTGTCGGATGGCCGTGTCGAATCCGTGTCCGTGCTACATAACCTACAAGCCGTGGCAAAGATGATTTACCTCCTCCAGCAGCTAATATATCGTTGCTGAAAAAAAGCTGATACCTTGTAAAGTTTTTCGTAAGTTCGGTAAAAACCAAATGTGCCTGAAAAATCATTACAACTATTTCTCTTTAGGACACATATTCTCTACTCAAAATGCAAACAGTTCCTAGCATTCATGGGGATCGTGTCGTGTCCGTGTCGGACACACGTGTCGAAAACACGTATCCTATGTATTTTTTAGGATTTGCCTCGTGTCGGCGTGTCGGATGGCCGTGTCGAATCCGTGTCCGTGCTACATAACCTACAAGCCGTGGCAAAGATGATTTACCTCCTCCAGCAGCTAATATATCGTTGCTGAAAAAAAGCTGATACCTTGTAAAGTTTTTCGTAAGTTCGGTAAAAACCAAATGTGCCTGAAAAATCATTACAACTATTTCTCTTTAGGACACATATTCTCTACTCAAAATGCAAACAGTTCCTAGCATTCATGGGGATTGATACAATTAAGTATGACTTAGGGGCAGAACAAAATATATTCTAGATGCAATTTTGTTCTTGGACAAGTGCCTGTTGCTCCGTATTACCGAAACTCAAACCATAAACATAGGCTTAAGGAAGTGTCCATAACCAAGGAACCAACTTTTATGGGTTGGCCATCAACAGTTACCACTTTTTGCCAGTCATATTCCCCTTCTTCTCCTATCTCTGTCCCTTTCTCTGGTTCTATCCTTCTCGAGATCATCTCTATCTCTGCTCCCGCTCTTCTCACGCTCCCTTCTTTTATCCCGATTCCTGTCTGCGTCGTTCTCTCTTTCTCTGGCCAATGACCTCTTCTGTGGGCTATGACTTCTACTCTGGCTACGGTGCCTCTTCCTTGAAGAATCAAGACCATCATCACGCCTCCCTTTCCTCTCCATAGAAGTTCTCTCTGCATTTTTAATTGTTATAAAAGTTGAATAAATAAGAGCCTTTCTGATTTTTCATGCTGACTATATGCTTATTTAAGAAAACATCATGTCAATCCATTAATATGCTTAGTTTATATGCAAAAAGACACAATAACAACATTAAAAATCCAAGAGTTTGAACTCCTGCACCATGTGATTCAAGCTGCTAGCGCATATCACACAAGTACAAACAAAGTGGTGATGGTTGGCAAATGGATGCTCCTTTTCTCATCCTTAATCAACTAGGTGGTTTTTACATATGAAAATGGTAATTGGATGGGAGGGAAAAAAAGAATTTTATCTATTTTAGCATGAATTCATAATCTCAATGCAGAATTTTATATGGAAACAAATTAAACAAAGCCACTGAATTAAATGCCAGAAACAAAGAATATCGAAACTACTCAGTAATGTTGTTGAGTAAGGACTGATTACAATAAAGATTTTCCAGAAAGGTCCCAAGAGAATGCACGTGCTTTCAAACTTTGAGAAGCAAGCTAAATCAAGTAAGTTGCCAGAAAAATTAGATCACTAAATGCAGAAGATGAGAACAGTTTCATGTTTAAACTTACGAGATGAATGCCTACTGGACCCTTCTGCAGAATCTAGCAAACCAAATTCTAAATGAAGCCGTTTACGATGATTTACAACCTTCTTCTCTATGTCTTCAGGATTCTGGATGCCTCTTTCTTCAAGAGTCTCCCGGTATTCCATTACAGCAACCTCTAATCGCCTAAGTTTCTGTCTGTAGGACAAATATCAGCAGCATAAAGTTTCAGTAAAATATTACGCACTACACATAGCTACATGCATACACAATATAATATAAGGAAATTATGACCTCTGCTCTTCACTCATGTTGCTTTCCGGACGAGGAAGACTGCCAGAATCAGTTGCCACCTCTGCCTCATCTTCCTTCTCGAGATCACCTCCAGCATTATCACTTCCGGATGAAGAATAACTTAAACCTAAACCTCGACCGCCTTTTTTATCTTCATCATCACTGCCATCATCCTCACGGGCCCACTTCGAAGCTGGCAATACAGGGTCAGACTTTACTGTCTTGCTTGGAAATGATCTTAACTCAGGCTGAGGAATTGAAAATGTTTGCGCTAAAGAGACGGAAGAAACATTCATATCTTCTAGCTCATCATGTTCATTCCATGTGCTAGAATTATCTGGTTGAGTCCCATGGTTGGGTTCCCTATGGTCCAAACTATCATCCTCTCTTGGATATTTGCCAGAACGGCTTTGTAGGTATCTCATGCCATCATCTCGGTCATACCCACTTTGTTTTTCTGCTTCCTCTAGATTCAGCAATCTTGCAACCATTATTTCCCTACCACCACAAAGAGATAGACCATTGTGCCTGCATCGTCTTTCCAGTTCAGTAAGCGGAAGACCTAATAGCTCCTGCATGGCTGCTCCCTTCCCCATGGCCAATGCAGTATCTTGGTTAATCTTGTTCCCTACAGAAAGATCCTCGGAACTACTTCTGTTTTCAATTTCAGGTGCATCCCCACATATAGAATGGAAAGGTATGACGCCTGAGTTCCCTGATCGAAGGAATGTAGCACGCAGACCGCTGACGTATGCATCAGAAAAGAGAAACCAATCTGCCCATACCTGAAGAACCTTTAAAACTCGTTCCTGCAGCAACCATAATATTCATTGCAGAATGTTAAGAGAGCAAAGAGAATGGGCCAGAATGGCAGCATACACCCTAACGGAGATCCACGTCAAATTACCTTGAGGGCCTCAGCAGTGATCCTTCCTGTGATACTACAATACAAGTCATTGAAACTCTCCATTATGTCTGGTAGTGTTGCTTCGAATTTTGTCCGATAAGCAGAAGCATTTTTCACTGGAGCGCTACTGTTATGGAGGATATCAGAAACAAGCATAAGCCTTGCAACCTTAGTTGGTATAGGTGTTTCTTTAAGCGTCAACGATTCTGTAAGGACCTCAACCACCTGTGTAATAAACATAAGAATACCAAAAAAAATAGAATAATCACCAAGGCATGCACACAACATGCAGAGGTCAATACACTTCTTTGCAAGCAAAATCTGATACTTGGTGGGAAGATAATGCGCCAGTTAGGTTTTATTAGCTAAACAGAAAGTTGTATAAAATGCTGCAAGGGACATTTGCAAAAGCGTCCCAAGAAAAATGGCTTGCCATAGTTGAAAATAGGACAAAATTTCAAAACCAACCCTTTGTGAGATTTATTTTCAAAAATCGACCTATTTGAGGTTTATTTAGCATTTTCGACCTAGTTTCAGCCAGCCGGCTGAAGCTGGGTCAAAATGCGAAATAAATTGCTAAAGCTTCACAGGATTTAGAATCCCGTGAAGTTTAGTCCTTAATTCTGTGCAGTTTAATTAAGGACTAAACTTCACGGGATTCTAAATCCCGTGAAGTTCAATATATAGTTTCAAGTTCAAATCTAACATGATTGCAATAGTTAGCTAAGCGGTTAGCTCAAAGAAAGCTAGACTTTAATCATTCAAGTGGTATTGAGTTTGAATCTCATTCCAACATATTTTTCCCTTGAATTAAAACAAATTACTAGGCCGGAATTTGACTGCACTTCCCATCCAAGACTTATAAACTAATGCTATAACCACTAAACTCACTACACATAATTGCTTAATTTATGAAGTTTATCTATTATAAACTTCACGGGATTTAGAATCTCGTGAAGTTTGGTAGCAAACCACCACATGCGCCAAGCTTTTTTGTTTAGCGCTGAATAATTAAGAACTAAACTTCACGGGATTCTAAATCTCATGAAGTTTTCGCAACTTATTTAGCATTTTCGACCCAGTTTCAACCAGCTGGCTAAAACCAAGGTTTTAAATATCGGATGTCGGGTTCATGTCGGACGGCTGAAATCCATGTCGGATAGCGAAAATCGGGGATATATCGGGGGACATGGACTAAATATCGGATTGCCATATCGGGTGATCCACATATGTATAATATCATGCCCTAAATGTAATCTAACTATCTAAGCATTCCTAAATTCATAACTTCATGACTCTGCACATTTCAACATTCATATGCACATTTAAAATAAAATAAATCTCTCCTTATTAATCAATAATCATTAGCCTATTATTAATCAGTTAGCCTATTATTAATTAAGTGATCAAACATCAAGTAATCATTAGCCTATTATTAATCAAAATAGTCCACAAACCAAACATTCACGTGTGAAGAAGAAAAAAAGAAAAAACAGGAAAATTGGCCGATATGGCCGATTTTCCAAACAAGAAAATCGGCCGATATGGCCGATTTTTCGCCGATATGGCCGATATGTCGGGAAAAAACGATATGCGACTTGTTTTTCCCCGATTTGTGTCGTTGGACCCCTCAATCCGCTATATCGGCCGACATGTCCGACATGTCGGCCGATATTTAAAACACTGGCTAAAACTATGTTGAAAATGCTAAATAAAAGATAAATAGGTCGATTTTAAAAAATAAAGTTTCAAAAGGGTTGGTTTTGAAAATTTGTCCTTGAAAATAAGAAGCCTTATACTTGAATATGGAAAGGATCATTACCTCTCCAGCTGCATCTGCATTGTCCAAAGCAAAACCCATAACTTCTTTTATTTGGCTCCTCTCTAAAGTTAAGGAACGCAATATATCCTCAAATTCATCTCGTTGTGGATCTGTGAGAGTTCTCTCCAACTCTATACGCTATGATATGTTAAAAGCAGTTCAATTAGAAAAGGTTGCTTCCAAACAGGACAGGTCGACTTACCAGCCAGATTGTAATAAACTATATAGGAAACACATGTAGTAAATACAATGTTGTAGAGAAAGTGAAAGGAAGCTCACCCTGCTTCTGCCAGCTGCATATGTCGTGGTTGCATCTTTTTCATGCTCTGGACTTCGAATTGATGGCAAAGATGGTGGAATCCATCTGATTGGGAAAGGACAAAGTATTATGAGTATGACCCAAAAAAAACCTGTGAATGATGCAGTTTAAGGCAGTAACTAATAAGTCAGGTAGTGTAGTTACCTTCCGCTACCAGTGATCATGATAAAAGGCTCTGTCCTCCATCGCTGAAGTGTATCACCCTGCATTGCAAACGTGCACAATATTTTAGAGACCAGTTAGTATCACAGTTTTTCATGCTGAGCTGCCTGAGCATCCCTTGAACAATGAGTAATCAGAATAGTCCATAAGTTTGTCCAGAAATTCACAGCCCTAAAAGTAGATATCCACAATCAAGGACAATGTCAATACCCTCCTTTGGTTCAAGCATTTTAATCATCGTTTTCCTTGAACCTGAAAAAAGATGTACAAATCTTTACATCTTAATTTATTTTTTTCCAAGTTGAGGGATTTCATTGTCCAGCTATATAGTCGGTCTCCATGACAATTTGATAAAGTTAGTTGGAAAATGCTGTGGACAGGCAACAACAACAAATAGGATGTCCTTTCATAATAGGACCTAAGTTAGTATAGAACAGCTAGCTGAGAACAGGCCCTCATCAATTTGTGGAAGGACAAATTTTCAAAAGAGACCCATTTAGACTTTTATTCCCAAAAAACGACCTCATTCAAACAAAATTACAAAAACCGACCTAGTTTCAGCGCTGACCAGCCTCAGCGCTGAAACCAGGTCGGTTTTTGGAAAAAAAAATTCTGAAACTTCACGGGAGTTGAACTCCCGTGAAGTTTAGTAGATGTGCCCGTGAAGTTTAGCAGATCTACTAAACTTCACGGGAGTTCAACTCCCGTGAAGTTTCGAAATATTTTTTTAAAAACCGACCTGGTTTCAGCGCTGAGGCTGAAACCAGGTTGGTTTTTGCAATTTTGTTTGAATGAGGTCGTTTTTTGGGATTAAGTTCACAAATGGGTCTCATTTGAAAATTTGTCCATTTGTGGAAGGATAAAACAAAAGACAAGATGTTCAAACACGTAACTCCTGCAGACAGATATGATGCTCATCTGCCCCTAAGTTGTACCACGATAACATCATGACAAAGAACACCATTATGCTCCTTAGGAAGCAGATATACAAATCAAAGTAGGTTGATGAAAAGATACCAATGACAAAGTTATGAACATCCTACAAAGTAGTGGAATTTAATGGTGTTCGCCCAAGGTATCATGAAGTTGCTAATTAAAGACGTCAATTTATTAAATACATTCTTAATTCAGCAAACAGCAAAGCTAAACCAGCACGGGTCCTTGCATACTTCACAGTGAATGCAAAAGGAATGATATTTGTAGCCGAAAAGTGAATAATCATATCAAAAATTAAATATGCAAAAGAAGTTGAACTAGCATTTCTTGACCTTTTGGGAAAACATTGCAATAAACAAAAAAATATTAATACTTGATCTTTGAGAATAGTTTCTTTTATATTAGAAATCGTGAAACAGCTAATTTAAGGAAAAAAAAATACAATTTCATTGCTTTAAATAATCAACTGTCACCAAGAAAAAATAACTAACTTTATGGAACAACAAAAACGAACTTCCAAAGGCTTAAAAAGGAAAACAGTTATGATGGGCAATTTCATTGCTCTAAATGATAAAACTGTAATCAAGGAAATAGAACATAATAGGAACATAAAAGGCTTGGTCATACAAAATCATCCTTCTCTCAAGAGGGGAAAAGTTTCCTTGTACAGGAATGAACTGAAGTTTTCCTGCACGGATGGAATCAATGTAGGAATTGAACATAGGGATTGACAGAAAACCCAACTAGTGGATCCCACGCAAGCATTCAATAGGAAGCCAGTTCTGCCACTTGGTTAAGAATTTCTCCAAGAGAAAATGTCAGGATAGGGGACATGAGAATATTTTACCGGACAGCTATTCTATCTCAATCTGAGGATCTTAAGATTTGGAAAAAAAAATCTACTATTGTATCCTATCAATAACATTTCAACATTATCCATATATATTTATAACATATCTGCCTTGCTGATAGAATCAACCTTATCTCTATAAAGCCTAGTGAACATATACTTGGAACAAATACAGATGTGGCCTCAGCAAACAGAATCAAGTGTTGCTTCTTAAATAAGATTTGGACCTCTGACGCTAAATATCTTCTCTCCTCATATTTAACCCTAACTCTCATCAATCCCACAACTATGAGGGGAAAAAAAGTAAGAGCTCTATTAAAAGCTTTGCTGCTTGAGGAATACTAGCAACTATACCTGAGCAAAGGAATAGAGTCTCCAAACATAATATGTATGTTCTTTAGATCCAAGCTCAAATAGGAAATTAAAAAGAGGATTCCCACGACCTCTCTCCATAACAGCTTGCTCAAAGGCACATCCACCATCCAGGACATGCAGTGCCATTGTGTCGATAACATGTCTTAGGTGTTTATCCTCTGGTGTAACAACTAATATATCTGGAACATTTGGAGTGAGCACCTGTACAACAAAGCCGAACCTGATAAGATAATGCTGTAATATAAAAACTAATAGTTAAACAAATAATACAAACTCCATAATCTATGCAAGAAATACCAATAGTTTAGTGTTGTTCCTTCCTATAAAAAGGTAAGTCTAATTTCATGTGAGACAAAATTAGTATTTATGAATAAGCATTATGAATGAAATGGAAAGGTTAATAAGAAAAGGTCACTACTTAACAAACCTACCAACTCAGAGCTTTGACTAGTCACGGAAGTTACTGGAGGACCAGCAGGACCAGACAAAATCACAGTGCTGCCCTGCAAATCACACGGAAAGTATCAACGTGTCATATGTCATTTACTTGGCAGATTGAGTAAACCATAAGACGAGAAAGGTACATGAATGTCAAAAATTATGTACTAGGTTGTAGATTTAACTTAAAGCTCAAACCTTAAAAGTAGAGAGAGCATAATTGAAATTATAGAAACAAATAAAGAGAGGGGGAAAAACCTCCTTGTTTCTAATAGCCATGTGCCCAGGTGGAGGAGCAGGCAGAGCTTGTGTTGGAAGTGATACAGACTTACCCCATCCAATCTTCAACTCATACTCATATACAACTACACCTGAAAATCAGAAATCATAATTTAACAGTCAATTTAACTATATAAGAACATGATACCAAGAAGCTACGTGCTACCATCAATGTGATGATGTAAAGGTTCTCCTTGATTGTTATCTAGGTGACAGTGTTTAAAAGCTACATGAAAGAGCAAGCAGACAGCTTTGGAATCAGACCACTAAGTATAACTTAAAACAAGCATTAATTTGCAGTGCAGATCCATCCTATGTAGAAGCATCGTAAATTTTTCAGGGGAGGGAAGGCTCCACTCCAGTTGATAAACAAATATTGCATTCATCCTCCACGAACTCTATGCTTAGTTTGGTCAAATACTTGGATAGCTAAAAGCCAGCTTGTAATAATCTATGTTGCATGGATACAGGTATGGATATAAGACACGGTAAATTTGCAAAAGATAGGGTACAGGGAGACTGCAATATAAATATTTATATCCACATATATTATATATTGGAATTAATAATGTATATGAGAACGAGATGAGAATTAAAATTCCTATCAAATTTTTATGTTTCTTTTATTATGTGGATTAAAAATTGGAAGATATAGTTTTTGAACTAGACATCCAAACAACCTTCAAAAACATAATTTGGGACCTAACCTATGTCCAACAAGCTGCAAGAACTGGATGTGAAGTGTAGGATATTCTATCCAAAAAAGGTATTACAAGTGTTTTAAATTAAAACATGTATTGCATAATTGAGTATATGCACAAATAAATGTATGCATATATGCAAGGAGTGTCCAAGGAGTGTGGGTACAGGTACGGATACACGTTTAGATTAGAAGTACCCAGGCAACATAGGTAATGATAAACAAACACAGGTTGCTGCCACTGCCTCTATCATTAAATAAGAAGTTCCAGCTGAAACAAAAACTGCACAACTGTAGACAGCTCTTCCCATCCTTATTCTTTCTTTTCAACCCTTAATCATTATGGGTGTGAATCGTGATAAACCTATAGGCATACATCCACAAACCTTTGTGCTTCATCAAACAAACAGTACACCTGTCTCGTATGTTAGATACAGTAGATTGGTAAACGCATTTAAACAGAGAGAAAAGCGAGTTAGAGAAGAGCAAAATGAGAAGAAGCTGTGGCAGATTGCTTGAAAGATTTAATCAGCAAATGCTCCTCTTTGCAAGGAAAGATCTTAGAGGATTCAATGAGAGCAGGTATTCTCTCATCCGTCTCAGTTAGCTCGAGTTGAAGCAGTTCTAGCAGTAATTCACCCAAAGGTGAAAGGGGCAAGTGGCAACAACCTAATTTGGAATTATATAAGATAAGCCTGAATCCGCTCTTGCCACTAAACTCAGTAGTAATCTTTCTGGGTGAGAAAGAGCTGATAGGTTAAATAAACATCAAACTAGATGACCGAGAATTGGATCAATATAATTCTCATGTATTCATGGGAGCCCTCATAATCCAGCAGCAAGAAATAAGTAAATTTTAAGTAAAACTGTCATCTATATATCCAAATCAATTGGGGAAACTGGTCTGATGATGTTCAGCGTGAGTCTCCTATAGTCCTATCATAACAAATTTAAATGCAAAATTTATACTGATATAACCACATTTTTCATACAATACAGGACTTTTCAGGGTACATTTTGACATGGGCTAAGTTTGCATGATTCACTTTTTTGTTATTGAGAGGAGGGGGGAAAATTATTAATACTACAACTGGACATCTGAACAAAATAAAAAAGTTTGTAATATATACATTACTCAAATCTGAAGAAGTTATTTCTCGCCTTGTGATCAATCTGACAAGAAACTTTTCTATTATAAACTTCACTTGATTAAGAGTTAAAGACATCAGAAAGAAGTATAAAAACAACTATGACGAAGCCTTCAGACATACATTTGATTTAGAAATGTATCCTTTTCATCCAGTAACTTCAGTGAAGACATAACCATGACTTCATTTTTACTGTCTCGATGCATGTTTATTTGGGTATAATCCTAAATCACTACATATACCACCATACCTCCCTATCTTAGCTTGAAGATTCAGTCAGTCTACATGGAAAATGTCCAAACAAATTCAAATGATTCTCCCTCCCCTTATCCCCATTTGAAGATAGAGCAAACTTCTTGCGAATTCACTTGTTTCATATGTCACTCTTTAGTTCTTATGTTATTCTCGATTTATAACATCTTTGTTTCGTACATGAAGCATGGACAATCCACGAACTTCTGTGTGTCAAGCATAGTTTTAGGATTTATAGTGTGTTGGTATCATTTACACACAGGGATGTCCATGTCAATAAGTTTCCTACTTATCCAAATTCCAACTGAAAGCATAGGTTGTTATAGCCAGCCTGTAGGATTCTAAGAAACTTTCATCTAAAGATTGACTACTATTGTTGAAATCTAACAGGAAAGGACAACAGTCAGCAATGCCAATACAAACATAACCGGGGAGCGCAAATTGGAAACAACATCAAATATGTACCAAAACCAACTTCTCAAGATAAACAGAAACACTAATGATTTCCATAGTAACTTCTATATTGTTAAGAGTTGATGATGTCATTGCCAAAGATGGAATGATGGCAACAAAAATGGTATAGTGGTACAAACAAAGAAACATTTAAGAAGTTCAGTATCATCAGACCTTGCATCTCATCCATGGCAGCCTGCCCATCAGCTCTGTTCATGAATGCAACAAAGCCACAATTTCTTTGTCTCCTGCGCTCCTCTTCTGTTCGAGGCCACATTATTTTCACACTAGCTATGGGCCCAAACCTTCCAAACGTCCTTAATAGAAAATTTTCATCCACCTAGCAGAACCAACAATGAAAGCTATACTTAAACTAATGTTAAAATAAAATAAATTTGCAAGGTTAGCAAATACTACGAGTAATGTTCGGCACCTGTGGTGAAAGATTCCCAACATACAAATTTGTAGTCTGGGGATCCCCATCATCAAATGATCCTAGAAGTTTTCCACTTGGATCAAACTCATCAGGCAGTTCGTCAAAACGTGTTGGCGGCTGGAGAAAAAAAAAAGAGCGATTCAAATGAATAAAAATATTAGCAGTTCTGCAGTAAAAGGGATCTTAAAATAGATAAACATACAAATAAAAAAATAATCAAAAGGCAGCAATTCTGAAACAAGTTGAGTAAACCATAAGTTTCGGAAAATATTGTTCTGCAAAACGGACAAAAAGGTGTACAAGGAAAGAAATTGCAACGCTCCGGCCTGCAAGCCCGTTGGCAGTGTAAGTCCCTAGGATGCACTGAGTGTAACCAGTCACCCATCCCAGTACTACACTTACCCAAGCATAATTTAAGTGAGCAGTTCTTTGGATAATCTACTGCTAAAAAAACATTTAACCATTGTTACACTTGGGTCTCAGGTCTTACCATTTAGTTCCCTGTGCGAAACTAAGTGGGGGCGTCACTATCACTCCATCTCAAATGCGTGACTTCCTCATCGCGGAATGTGAATCCCAGACGTGGCTCCCACCGCACCCACGCGATGTAGCACTTAACCCTACATAGTACTTATTCCACACTACCAACTGCTAACTACTCTAATATTATTTGTCACACATCAGGCACGCGAGCCTATTCCCAAAGTGTAAACCTCCCTAGGGACCCACTGAGTGTAACATGTAACTTCCTAGGAGATCACCCATCCCAGTGCTACTCTCACCCCAGCATGCTTAACTGCAAAGTTGCTTGGCCAATCCACTAATGGTTGACGACTATTACACTTGAGTCTCAGGTTTAAAGGATTTAAAGATTTAAAGGATATCCCAATAAACGAGGCTCCCACCATTGTGGGCTCTGTGGAGGCTTAAACGTACACAGCCTTAACCCCTTATGCAAAGAGGTTGTTTCGAGGATTTGAACCCATGACCTCCAGGTCACAAGGCAACAACCTTAATGTTGCGCGCCAAGGCTCACCCTCATATTATTGTTAATTCCCGATATGGGACTAAAGTGTGGGTGTGACATGTTCCCAGACTGGATACAATAGAAGAGGATATAGATTAACATAACTGGCACTTTAAGCCTGAAAATGCAGGTGCTTTTAGCAGATGTATCTAGCAATATAGTTTGATTAAAGCAATGCAAGTATGCAACTAACACTGCAACAGAAGCAAAAGAATGAGAAATTCTTGCAAGTTAAAGGTTTTGAGGGGACTGTAACATAATATCAAATTTAGGGGACCTATTCTAAAAAAGTCATGTTTGGGGATAGTATCTTAAAACTCCTGCTGTATCGTATTAGTGTGCAGAGATATGGAGGCACCGGCTACGTACATACCAATACTCTTTTACTTGTTTATTTTGTGAGTATAAAATTGTAATATTTAGTTTTCAAATATTGCATACAGATAGAAACTCATTGAAGAACTAGATATTCTAGACACTCATTATCATACATATTTCCAATCACTCTTGAAAATAAAGAAAGTTAAAAAGCTAGCATTTAAAAAACTTCAATATAAATAAACTTTTAAAAAAATAAATACTTAGAATTTCTAAGCAAATTAATTTGCCCCCTGAAAGCGAATCATGCTCAAAAGACGTGACTTGCTTTCTACCCATTACTATTATAACAACGCAATGGACCAAATTCCTCACATTAGTAGACTTTAACCTTAGATGAGCACTTACAGCAGAAGTATCACCATGGCGTCCTTCGCGCCGTTGTTCACGTTCTTGATTACGCTTCTCCCTGAGCTCTTGTTCAAACTTCAGCTCTTCCAAAAAATTATCAATGGCACGTGATTTTCCTTTCTCCTTCTCCTTTGGCCTTCCATCCTCCCTCTGCAAGTTGCCAGAAGAGCAACAGAAAATAATCATCTTGCGGTAAAATCTTTAAGAGCATTTTATAAACCATTGCATGGAAATCTCCATGAGCTGAGTAGGTGTAGAAACATATTATCATCTCACAATATACATTCCAGAATTGTCAAGATATATGAAGTTACTCAAGAATTTGCGTGCTTCTCTTATGTATACAAGATGTATTACAATCAATCACCTGTTTAAGTAGATATCTGACATTCCATTCCATCAGCTATCAGATAGCAAGTGTGTGTCAGTGAGTGAGTGAGTGAGTGTGTGTGTGTGTGTGTGTGTGTGTGTGTGTTTTATATATTCAGCTTCTGGGAGCACAGACAAAGCTCGGAAATTTTAGGGGACCTAATAAGGAGCAAGTTAATATAAGAAATAAAAGAAATCAATTTTATCTTATAGAAAATGAACAACTAGGTTTTAGACATTATGTTAGACAAACATATACCCATGTATCTTGAATTACGAAAGGGTTGTAGGCCTAATTTTCCAATTACACATACACATATATCTGAACAACTAATTAAACTCAATTCAAAGAAGTTAATAAGAAATAACCTAAGCTGAAATTACTTCCAAAAATAAATAAAGATGGAAGCTTGTACCATATGTTGAGACTCTTATTACTTACCTTTCTCGACACAAATTATTCATTGGTGATAATATTTATTACAATCAGTGTGGAGAGCATGTTAAGACCCTTATTATTGCTGAATTTGAATATCAAAGGTTTTCTGGACCTTAAGATTATAACTTAACTAGGACTCATGTGGTTACAAAAGAGGTAGGCATACAGAAGGGACAAAAAAAGTGCAGTGATTGGAACAAAACCATAAGAAATTCAAAAAAGTAGAATAAATAACACCTTTGTACGTTAGCGTCTTTTGTAAGTAAACCCCAAAAAAAACCCAGGCATCCACACATAAGCAATCAGGAAAATGCCCTGCACGCGTAGTCTGTGACTAGATTAACTCGGAAGTTTCAGTATATCATTTGACAACGGTGATGGTGGTTTGATGTTGTGATCCATAGATGGAAGAATCAAATCAGAGACTTTCAACAGTTAAATTAATTGTAGACTTAAAACAGGTCATACACCCTTGAATCTAACCTGACCAGGCATGCAAGCATAAAGCAATCAGGAACATGGGCTGCATGCCTAGTCTGTGACTAGATTAACTTGGGAATTTCGACATATCATTTGACGGCGGAGATGGTGATTTAGTGTTGTGATCCATAGATGGAAGAACCAAATCGCAGATTTTCAACAGTAAAAGAAATTTTAGACTAAACTGGTTGCGTACCCATATTATAGGCACTTGAATGTATCTTGGAGAGCACACTAAAGCTACCATGCTGTATCCCTCCTAGAGTACTCCAAGAATTTCTTCCTTCAGTGGAACAAGGTCCAGCCAATTTGAAAAACCCAATGTTACTAGCAGACAATGGAACAGGTAAAATCTACCCTGACAACTTTATATTGTAGACGGAGGACACACCTATGTATTGATGTGCAAAATCTCCTAATTTCATAGTCCTGTTCTTGTTGAGAAGCCAAGGAAAGGACGGTGGAGTAAATTACAAGTTAGAAGCTCAGTTCTGACTTGCAACGATAGGCTAAATAACCTAAGTTTGCACTTTCCAATAGTATTTCAGGCAGTAGCAGAAAGCAAGCAGCAATAGAGCTTATCTTCAAACTATTTGAGAGTTGCTCAGGAATTGAGTTTCCTAAAACATGGAAAACAAAGGAAGACAGGATTGAAATCACGGAAAGAACAAGTAGAACCAGATTCGACTAGAACAATTTATGTTCAACACCATACCAATTCTATTTTTCAAATCTTTGCAAACAACGGATTGGATCTTTTCATATTTATATGCACATCTAATCACACTCTTTACCGCGTGTTTTGAATATTCAACTGATAACAAACGCATGATGAAAAATATAAGTCAACTCTGTAACTATATGGGCTAAAAAACAACAGGATTGGATCCTTTCATATTTAGTAGCAAATCTAATCACACTCTTTATCGCACTTTTTGAATATTCAAAAGAAAATAGATGGATGATGAGAAATATAAGTAAAATATTTAACTATATGGGCTACAAAATGCCTGCATCATATATTGGTTAACATATCCTTCAAGATCAAGTTCAGCCCACACTTATCCAATTTCCTGACAGCATGGGATAAGGATCAATATCAATCGAACTTCACCAGATCCGCCAGACTCATCAAGCATAAGGCATGCCCAATCTAATCCCAAAAGGCAGAGGCTCACACCTCACAAAAACTCGTTCCAAATAAAGGAAGAATAAATTAAAATCCAACAAGATAACTATAATCACATTTGAAGATTACAATAAAGAATTTAAATATTCATATTGGATGATGTAAAATTATATAAAAGAAATTAAGAACTTTGCTGACCTTTTTCTCAGGTTCTCTCTCTTTATTAGAAGGTGGAGGTAAGAAGGATGGCACATACCTGGAGAAAGGAGTGGAAGAAACATTGTGATAGCCCAACATTTAGTAGTCATGCATTTAGAATATAACAAAAGAAACATATGTTACAATTATGAGAACTGAATCAATACATGTACGTTAAGCAATTAAATCAGGTCTGAGACCTAAATGACCAAGATCAAATGCAGAGGCATCCAGTTATTAAAAATAAAACTAACTATAATGACCAGAAGTACAAGTTTTATGTATGTCCTAGAACAGGTCTGTAGAAGGTTAGGTTGAGACATGACTCTATGAAGCTGACTATGATTGAACCTCTAGCAAGTTTACTAACCTTCGGCCATATCAAATAGATAGGAATAAGGAACTATAATTTATAAGGCCATACATAACCAGGTCAAAGTCTGGCTATTGCTTTTCATACCTATTCCTGACCTGTGCTAGGTCAAAGTACTGAATGGTTGTATGATTGATTTGGTGTAAAGATGAGTATTTGTAGCCTAAATTTTCTAATGTTATATTCAAAGTGTGCAACTGATATTTATCAGACCAAAAAATGATGGCAAAGTGGTAATTTTTAAGAAATTAAATAGTTAAAAGTGGCAAAGTTGTAATTAATAAAGCATGAATAGTATTTTAGAGAGACTCTCCAAATTTTCTCTTCACCCTCCAAATTTGGAGGGTCAAATTTGGAGATCTCCAAATTTGGAGAGTGGTTGGAGAGGCTCCACTCTCCAAATTTGGAGATTTTGCATTTTTAGAGGCCGGTTGGAGATGGCCTAAAAAGACAAAATAGGTTTTACAGTCTTAGTATTCTGACATTTATATTATTACTTTGAAAAAAGTCCCCTTCTGGTTTGCGTGAGCTTTATTTTAGAATTAGAGAGAGCTCTTGTATTCTGACATCTATTATATTAAGAAAGCCTCCATTTTGGTTTGTGTGAGCTTCATTTTAGAAATCCAAAAATGCATCATTCACGCTTGAAAAAAAAAAATCAGCAGAAATGCCCTCGCTCTCATGCCTCGGAAAATAAACAGGAATGTCCTCAAATTTGGAAAGTTCCGAAAAACTAACAAATTGTCTGTTCCCTCTACAATTCAACAATAACACTCCCCAAATTATGTGTCATGCACGCATCGCGTACACCAGAATATTGATCAAAAGAAAATCATAGAGTATGTGTGATAGCTATTTTAACCATCAAGGATAAGAATAGCTTATTATTCAAGAATTAAGAGGGTAACACTACTATATTTCCAAATCCTGAAAATAAACAAAAATTGCTAATTACAGCCTAAAAATTGAGCAAACTCTTAATCATTTTTTTAATTGTTCCAATTACTTTATTGTTCTCAACAAACAAATTGAGCCCAGCCCTTCAGACATATCTAAAATGTAAAAAATATATTGACTGGAAATGAAGAAAAAAGTGGAAGTGGGGTTAGAAAAAAATCATATTATCCTAATCTTTAAAATAAAAGGAGTTGACTCTTTCCACAAGAACTGTGGAATAGAACAGCATTCAAGCAGCAAGCAAGAAAAGCCTGGTAAGCGGTAACAGAACCGTCAGCATAGATGTAACCAGTCAACCAGCTATCATTTGACACATAAAAAGGGAGTTGTTGAACGTTTATAAGATTAAGACAGAAAACCTTCCTACTATTTCTCTGTTTGATTTCATGATTGTCATTGTCACATCATGCTTAACTCACAATCCCAAAGCTTTCCCATTAAAAAATCAGAGAATTTTTTAGAAAAAACTATTTTTGATAAAATAATAAGCAAAACCGACCCTTTTATGAAAATATTAGTAAAATTACCAAAGATATGTCGATTTTGCAAAATACTGACTTTAAAATACATGGGACTAGTAGTCCCGTGTATTTAATGGTCTCTAATTACAGTTAATCTGAAGTGGTCGTCTTGCGTACTTTGTGCTGAAATGTTTAAGGTTTAATTAATGAGAACTAAACACACTGGACTACTAGTCCTGTGTATTTTAAAGTTGAATTTTCACAAAAAAAAATATCAATTTTGCTAATAATTTTACAAAACAGTCGATTTTGCTAATTATTTTTTAAAAAGGGTCTTTTAAAAAATTCTCCTAAAAACATCATGTATAAAACAATGATATACACTTCCACTAATGGCTTGACAAAATTTTCCAACAGGTGTCCAACTGATCAATTGTGCACAAAATATATCCTACTTGATTTTTTTTTTTTAATTTCATAGACAACAAAGGAACCATACCTGAAATTCTAGATAATAAAGAATCTATTTTAATAGAAAGATGATAAGCTTGTGATTGTTAAACCACATGACATAAGGACAGCTACACCAGAGAAAAAGCTAGTCACAAATTAGGGTTTCTAAATTTTTTCTACTAGTTGTTAAAGCACAGTCATGAATTCAATTGGATAGCAGCTGACACGAATCATAACATGTCCCTCCTATAAGCATTTAAGAAAAAAATTAAATAGAGGAAGTTTTTATATTTATTAGCTGGTTTCTACTATTCAGTGCACAAGATAATTGTTACTTCTCACCTGTTCATAGTTTCCCTTTGTTGTACTTCTATACTAAATACAAATGTTCTTATTTTTCAAGTTTCACTCTGAGATATTTCCCTTTAAAAACTCTGGATAGCATCTTTAAGGCTCTAATGACTTGAGGTAAAGTCATGTATATTATTTGATAGGCAATTAAACGAGAGTATACTCACAAAAACTTTGGTAATCAAAAACTAGTTATGTGTCATGCTTCCAATAAAAAGAAAGAACGAAAGAAAGTTGCAACAAGAAGTCATCACCATGCTTCACAAGATCGCTTAAAAATATAAAGAATAAGTGAATTTCAAATGCGTTGCAAGCTTGAAACCAGAAAATTTGAAGATATAGATACAGGAAAGCAAAGAAAACCCGCCAACACATTAGCATGCTCTACTATGCACCACTCATCAAATGCATTTAAAATATAGACTTTGTGGAAGGCTATGAAATTGTCATATATTTGTTGCATAGCACATAATAAAAGACATAATAAGAGGCACATCGCTAAGAACTGCTAGAAAGTTAGAAACATTAGAGAATAAATATCAATTAGAATACAATGGTCAACATGTAGACAAGGTGCAGCTTTCTTTAGGCGTTTGCTTCTCAAACAATCTGCAACTGCAAGAACTGGATCATGAAATTATGCTGCTAGTGATAACAAAACCAATATAGAATTTCAACAACAGAAGTGGCAGTCTGATTTCAATAATGTGAACACTTGTTTCTGAAGTGCTAAATCTGATGTGCAGGGCAATTTTATAGAATAGAAAATCATCCAATTTTTAAGATGGACAAAATGAAGACAAACTTCAATATGTAGGACTCAGGAAGAAAACATAAACTCCATATTCCTACATGAAAGTCACCATTTCAAGAATTTATCTGAATAAGAGTTGGAGAAAAGAGCACCGTGTTCTAAAATATTCTAAAAAAGTAAGATAGTTTCAACCTTTAACACAAAAAAGGATGAGACCCTCGTTTTCTTTTCTTGTTTATATTTGCATGACAGCATAAATAATGCACAACTTTTATCTAACTAAACGACAAATTTCAAAGTATAATTTTCCTTTCATACTAATAAGGAATTAAATTTGCATTTCCCTGACTTAATGAAAACTGCAATTCTCTCTATTTAAGCATGGACACAGCTATCACCAGGATTCCACCTTCTAATCATCAAGTACATTTAAGTTACCTAGTTCCCTTCTTTGGAACAGATAGCCCATCTTTGGAATTTCCACCTGCGATCGTCGAATGAATGAAAAGGCCCATCTTTTTAATTAAAATAATCATGCATAAAAATCAAGCTTATAACCGCCTGCAAGAAACTGAAAGGGAAAAAAACATAACTTGTAAACGGTATAAAACTCATTGAGACTAACCTTCTGAGTCTGCCTTCAGCTTTTCATTTGGATTAATCAACCCTCCTCTAACAAAAGGCTTTGAACCAGGTGCATCATTCGCTTGAAATGACTCCACAAATTCAGCATACAATCGAGCAGTCTCATCCTCAGCTTTCTTTATAATTAAGAAAACAGATAAAAAATTTAATCAATCAACTCCCAACAGATCTCTAATGGTGTTTTAGAATATTTTCATCAAACAAGATTTTCTCCTTATATTTTCTAACACAAGCATTTAAGACGTTAAGCAGTAATTTATTGTTTGACAACAGAAGGAAACAAGTACCATCATAAGCAAAACGACCATAAGTACTTCAGAGTACCTGTGCAAATTGAAACTTACACCCAAAAGTAAAACTTCTATGCATAGTGGGTATAGTCATCTTGACATATTTCTATCCTATCAAAGCTCTTAATTTGCATAATTATTCATAACATTAAAACTGGGAGAATATTAGTTTTCTGTTTAGCTGTACAAAATCCAAGTGTCACCCGACTCCTGAGTGATTTTTCAATCTCATGAAACAACAAACTTCAATCATTTGGGTCATAAAAAAGAGAAAGCAACAGAAAGCACTCAGATTTCCTCACAACCAATAAGCCCTAGTCGAGATCCAGTGAAAAAAGAAAGTAGTAAAAAAATACAGTAAAGGAAAAACATTTACCTTCTTCTTGGCTTCTTCCTCTTCTCGATGCTTCTGAAAAGGAGTCTTCTTTCGATTCATAGAGAAGCTCATCTCTGCAACCGAAACCTAATAATAATAATTAAACATTAAAACACATAAAAATTTCACAAAATCATCTGAGATCGCGTTAAGAATTAGTAAGCAAGTAAACCCTAACAAAGGGCGGAAGAGATTGAGGAGAAAATCTTACGCATCCAGGGGTAGGAATTAGGGTTTCCGGTGATTTTGGCGATGGGAGGGCTTCGATTCTTCTGAGCTGAGCTCGAGGAGAAAGAAAGAGTGAACGCGATGCGGATGTTGGCTATTTGGATCTTAGGGTTATGAGCGGTATCCAAAACCCGATAACCCGATACGTAGTCGGTTCTGAAACTCGCTGCCCGAACGAGATCCGAATCTACAATAGTGGATCCAAATTGCAATCGGGTGCGTATAAACTTGAGCGATACCGAATTTCCAAGGTCCATATAGGTTTTGATACGTGCGTGTTCTGTTTGGTTCATTTCCAAAAAATTATGGAAATGGATTCCCACATAAGAAACCTATTCTGTAAAAATTTTAGGATATCAAAGGAATCCAAAACTTTTGTTTGATATGGAAGGATAAAATAAGGTTTTAGGAAATGGTATCCAAAACTGCTGTTTGTTTCACCCTAAAAATCGGAAAAGCATCATGAGAGAAAAGCACCATGAGGAAAAGCACCATGAGAAGCTGAGCTGGCACCCTCATTTCCAAAAAATTGCCCATTTCCGAGCTTTTAGACAGGAATTGGCCGTTCCAAAAAAAACACTATTTGACAAGGTTTTAGGAAACCATTTCTTTAAAAAAAATGAAACAAACGCAGTTTTGGGATTTCTAAAACCACAAAAATGTTACTTTTTGTTCCAAAAACCGGGTTTTCCAAAAAAACACCCTCAAACAAACACGCCCTTAATGTAAGAAAGAGTTTCCATGCGGCTTGTGGTGGTTTCTTTTTCCATCTCACATCTGTTTGCCCTGGGGACTCTCTGGTTTTGACTTTCACAATCATGTGGTTTATATGGGGGGAAAGAAATATGCGCTCTCATGGTGGTTGTGTTAGAGAGGCCTCGGTTTTGGTGACTCGGATTCCCTGTTTTGTGGAGGAAGGGGATAGAGTTAGAGGTCTCTCCCGTGACATTGCCACCCCTTCCAAATTGCCTTCTGCTTGGTACCCCCTGCTCCTGGTTTGTTAAAGCTCAACACAGATATTATTGTTCCTCTGGAAGGAGATATTATTGGTTTGGGAGGTGTTATTCGGGATCACCATGGACATGTGATTGGTTGCTGCTCTATGGGGATCAAGGGTCCTATGTCTATGGATCATACAGAGTTGTTGGTTGTCATGGAAGGCATTCGCTTTGTTTGGCGTATGAACTCGAGGATTTCAGTGGTGGAAATTGACTCTCTAAAGGTTGTCTCCTTGGTGGACTCTCCTTCTCCTTTTGCTTCCTTGGCTCGTATTGCAGATGAAGTTCGCGCTGGTCTGACTATTACTGACTGCTCTAAAGTTTCTTATGTAATGCACATTGGTAATGGTGTTGCTCATTCTCTAGCTAAGTCGGTTGACTGTTTGTCTTCTTGTTTTTGGTCTGTTTCTGTCCCTTTGTTTTTTAGGCAGAATGTTGTTGAGGACTTGACTAGTTAGGTTACCCTACCTATCTTTAAAAAAAAAAGTTATGTAACTCTTACTGAGGTAATAAATCTCGAAGCAAATAATCGTATGTGCCAGGTTTTTTTTAAGAATGGCCTACGTATATGTTGAAAGGATAAAATTTTGTTTTAGACCCTTTTAGAAATTTATTTTCAATAATCGACTCCTTTCAGATTTATTTGCATAATCCGAGCAAGTTTCAGTCAGGTGGCGGAAACTGGGTCCAAATTGCGAATAAAGTTGAAAATTTTTACGGGATTTAAAATCTCATGAAGTTATGTCCTTAAATAATTAGTGCTAACAAAAAAGTTTGGCTCAAGAGGTAAACTGCTACTAAACTTCACGGGATTTAAAAATCCCGTGAAGTTTATATTAAACAAATTTCATAAAATACACAGGACTAATAGTCACGTGTAATCAGAAAACATTAATTACAAAAGTAATTAAAGTCAGAAAATACACAGGACTACCACTTTTGCGTATTTTACAGTCAGAACCATAAAATACATGAGACTACTGTATATGTCCTATATACAATATAATTACTCCAGACAAGTGAGTTATAATAACATTTTTCATTCATATTGTTTGGGGGTAAGATTTGATAGAGACCTTGCATCAAAGAGATTTTTTTATTTTTAAAGTACATTGCGAAATATATCATAATCTCCCTGCTCTAATTTCGCAAGAAAATAATTCTTCATACTTTTAGTTTTACTTCTATAGTACAGAGAATAAATTATAAAATTGAATGAGAATATTAAATAATGTAAATATGAGTGAAACCACAACTAAAAGTTAATGTGAATATGCGTGAAATCACCACTGAAAGTTTAATGAATATATTGCAAGTAAATTCATATGCAAAATTCCTTTACAAATTGAATACTCACCCATCTTTTAAAAACTTCAAGATACTAATAAACAAAGATATTATACGAGATCAATATATTTATAACTCACAAATAGTAGAGCACGTGGCGACAGTCTATGTTGAATGAAATAATAACAATATTTCATTTAAAAAAGAGACAATTGTGTTGATAATCAATCCCGCAAAAAAACTTTATTTTTATTTTATTTTTATTTTATTTTTATCAATTTAAATAATCATAATATTCGACTACGTACATTTCACGTGCAATCCAATGAAAAATAGAAGGCTCAAGCCGACGACAAAAATGCTCGGTCAAGATGAAATCAAGCGAACCAACGGTTCAGATTCAATTTAGAGATCAAGAAACTAACTTCGTACGGATATAAAGGAAAGAACTCCTTCCTTTTTTTTATTAATTTTTCTCGTATGGGAAATTATCATCATCAATCTCTTCGTCTCTCCCCCCTAAAACCCTAACAAAACCCTAAATTCAATCCCCTTGATGAAGTCCCGGCGAAGGGAGCAGCTCTCTTCTCCAACTTCGAGTTCAGAAACAACCAACTTTTCGTGAGTTTTTCTTCTTTTTTTTTTTTCTTCTTTAACCTCCATTATATATTTATTTTTCTCTGCGAGAATTTCAATTATGATATGGTCGTTGACTGGTGTTATATGAACTGTTTCATTAAGACCCATTTAGATTAGTTTGTGTTTATGCGTTTAAATCCCCAAAAAAAAAACGATGATCTTTCTTCTGATTAATCTTAGTTTGGTCAAGATTGCTTTTCTAGGGTTTTGGTGAGGATTTTGACATTGCAAACCCTAAATTGGGTTTCTTTTAGCTGGATGAGATCATTGTTTTTAACCGCGTTTTATAGAATTCCTGCTTGAATTTAAGTAATAGCTTGTTGGTAAATGTTGATGGTGACGCTTTTTAATTTATAAATTATGCTGTTCAATTTCCCCTTTCTGGGTGTTGGTTCACTAAGCAGTTAAATTGTTTGGCCTTGATTAAAATTTGTTTTTTCGAATTTTACCAGAATTTCACTTAGTCTTTGTGATTAATTTGTGTTTTATGTGTTGCAATACTTTTTCGAGGAAATTAAGTCCCAAATAAAGACCAAAATGTGTTTTTTTTTCTTCTGATGGTGGAGATTAATTCTTTAAGATTGTGGTGTAGAGCGTAGCATTGCATAGGCTCTAATTCCTGAATATAAATATCAATACTGTAGTTTTTCTTTGTTTTTTTAATTTAAAATTTCCTGTTGTTTGCTTTAGACCTCCCAGTCTCCCACTTACATATACCAACCCAAACCCTAAAGTTAATTTAAGTAATCTACTTGTCATTTTTAATTTTTAATATTCTGAATTTCACCTTCTTGTGTGTTGGTTAAAAACTTAAAACCCAATAATTATTTAGCCTCAAATGAGTTGAATTTCACTGTCCATAAAGTAGAGAGGTCACAGACTTTTGATTCATGGTGACCAAGCGAGCAGTTATCTTGTTCTTTTCGAAACAATTTTTTTTTGTGAATTATTGCGTTTTATGATATCACTGAATTTTAGTTTGATGAACTTATATTGTTTTAGTGCGTTAATTTTCTAAATACGTGGAATACAACTTAATAGCATTTTTATCTTGATTTATTTTTATAAAAGAAAATAAAGATAAAATCCAACTCACAAAAATCAAAATTTCTATACTTTACCTTGATGTTGTGTTATTTACTTACAGGTAGTTATTATCTAATCCTGTAGTAGCTTAAATAGCAGTTTCTTATTAAAAAATTTGCACGCTCTAATTTTGAAACTCCCTTGCCTATGAGCTTTTAACTTACTTTCCACTATGTTTTAGGTAACTATCTATTTATGCTATTTTAGATCCTTAGATGTGAGTTTGTTTACATACATTGGGCAGTACACTTGGTTGGGATTGAGCCACATGGCCCACATCATTGTATATGAGCAGAGATGGATTTAGGTTTATAGGTGGGTGCGATTGTATCCCTACAAATTTAAAAACTACAAATAAGCCCTTGTAATATTTACAATCTGCCGTCCCCCCATGAATTTTAAAAATTGCACCCCCATCTATCTAAAAACTATAATAAGTTAGTAGCAAATTGAATTTGCCATCTACAGTGCACGAGTATATTCCCATTAGATACCATAGTTTTATAATGTTATATTATTATTTTTAGGTAAATAGATATTCGTTGCAGTGTGAAAGTGCGGCTGGATGAGTGAGTGACCGCATGCGTGTAATCTGACTTACTATTTTAAACAATGCAAAAAATAAGTGATTCTGACAAGGAAATGGTGGGAATTATAGTTACTATAAGAGAGAGAAACAGAGGAAAAGAAGAAAGATAATGCATGCGAAATGATATCTAACTGAGAATACTGACAACTTCGCAAAATTCAAATGTTAGTCAATGAGCATTATTTTTTTACAGTGAAATCACATGGCCATCATTTCATTAAAATTTCAGTTAAGTATATCTATCACTGCTACTTTTATATATAAAATATCAAGGTGACCCTTTCAGGATGTTTCTTTTATTTTCCTCTTTTTTCTCTTATCTTAATTGAAATTCTGGAGCTGTTTTCTCAATACATTCTATTTCTCCTTCAAATTTGGTTGCCATGTAAAACCTTTGGACTCAAATGTAGACTCCTAATGCTCATATGATCACTGAAAACAGGAACATGGATACATTGTCAAATGGTAACCACCATGACAAACTATCATATTTCCAGAAAGAGAAGGCATTGGTAACAAGATGCAATTTACCGGATTTGACAGCCAATTTATCTGATGAAATCTTGTCTTTGATACTATCACTTTTGCCAATGAAAGACGCAGCACGTACCTGCATCTTATCGAGAAGATGGAGAAATTTGTGGAAACACCAAAACAGCATCAGCTTTGACGTGGATGAGATCCTGGGTAAACACCCTCATATCAGCAGATGTGCAAGTAGCGTCTTCTTTGAGGAAGAGCCCTCCACAAGCCAACAGTTCGATGAATTCGTATCATTGGTCGATCAGTACTTTGAAAATAAATCAGGATGCAATATCGGGGCATTAAGCATTCATATCCGATCAAGAGGTCACTATCACCATTTGGACCGATGGCTAAATTTGGCCAATGGTATGAACATTGACAAGCTCAAGCTCGATTTCAGAGGTTATGATTCTCATTACCCTTACGAGCTTGATGTTGGAGGAAATATATTGAGTTTGAAGCATTTTATTCTTAACAATTGTGGCTTGAAGACTTTACCTGGTTTCATCGGGTTTCATTCCCTTATATCACTTGCATTTGAAGATGTCGTGGTCTCCAATAACTTCATCAATTACTGTCCTCTACTGGAACATCTCACTCTTATCAATTGCAGGGGTCTTTATGAATTGAACATCTCGAGTCTTCTGAACAATTTAAAGTATGTTAAGGTGATCCGTTCTGCATCTACCCTCGAGATGCATGCAAAGAACATCAACCATTTCGAGTGTTCTGGTTTCATGGAAGCATACTTGTATCCAGATGTTGATGAAAATGATGAGTTTGACACGTACAATGATATTGGATTTCCTAGAGCAAAATATGGGCTAAGAAATTGTATCTTCACGCCTGATCCTAAGTTTGGAGGGTTCAAGTCACTTAAACAACTTGTTCTATTTGATGTCACTTTTACACCAATCCTTTTAAGGCATCTTCTATCCAACTGTTTCTCTGTGGAAGAATTGACCTTTGGCGATTGTTCTTTTTTGCTATCTTATCCGTCGATTTTAGAGATAAATGGATTGGTTCATCTTCAGTCTGCGAAAGTGTTAAACTGTTCAGGAATAAATGAGGTCATTGTGAAGGCTACAAATGTTAAGCAATTTGTGTTGTTTTCTGGGGAGAATACACATAAGGTCTCGAGACTAAATTTCCAGCTTTTAGATGATGATGGTAATGATTTTTCCACTGCAGCAGGAAAACCTTCACTTCTGAAGCATTTGCATTTAAGAGGGGGCAAATTTGCACTCAATATAACCAATTTCACTGCTCTCGAGACTGTTTTACTCGAAGATATGTATCTTACAGATGAGGATGTGGGCAATTTATTGACAAGTTGTTTGTTCCTTAAGAGATTGGATCTCATAAATGTGGGCAATTTATTGACAAGTTGTTTGTTCCTTAAGAGATTGGATCTCATAACATGTCGCGGTTTTTTCACTCTGAACATCATGGGTCCATTCTTTGTTCCTTAAGAGATTGGATCTCATAACATGTCGCGGTTTTTTCACTCTGAACATCATGGGTCCATTCTTGCAACTCAAGATTCTGAATGTGAGGCATTGCAAGCAACTTGTTGAGATAGGAATTTGTGCTTCAAATCTTATGGAATTTAGATATCTTGGACAGCTAATATGTTTCTCTCTGAGAGAAGTTCCCAAATTGTTAACTGTTGAGATCAAAATCGAAGAAGATGTCTGCGATATCAGCTCGAATCATTTCCTCTCGATGCTCTCTAAAGACATACCACAATTGCATACGTTGTATTTTCACGTTGAGGTATGTAAACTATTAATACATCTATAGTACCTCCTTATTAACCTTTTGTAGTGATGTTGGGTCCTTTTTATTTCTCTGATATTAGGATGAACATGTACCAGAGGCTCTGCCGATATTTCTTGATCTCAAACACTTGGTATTGATTTTCAGCAATAAATCCCATACACTCTCCTGGGCAACACTTTTCCTCTTAGCTTCACCATTTCTGGAGAAGTTTCAAGTGCAGGTATGTTGAAGATTCAGTTAGAACCTTAGTTAGGAGAAGGTAAACTAAGCAAACCCAAGAGGTTTACATGATTTGCAGAAATACACCAGAGGCTTTAAACGTAATAGTTTGCACCTCTGTTTAAACTTTTTGGAGTTAATTTGGATGTAAAGACAATAAAGTATTAAAATATGACAATTACTTCTATGTCTATAGAAATACATGATTTTTATATCGAAAATTGATGATTATATCAAAATGATTGATAATTGTTTGATTAAAAATGGAAGAGGAGAGGATAAGATGTCACTTTTAGAACCTGATGAAGGAGACTTTTATGGGTATTTTGTAACTTACCCTATTTACTTCCTAGATATGTTTGCCGCATATTTTCGCACATGTGCCTTTTAAACTATGACCTTCAAATGTTTAACTATTTCACTTTAAAATCTTTTCTCCATTGCTCAGCTACCTGGACATTTGAATGACTCTGCTAAAACAAAAGTGCCCAAGGAATGGGTTCATCATCACCTTAAAGAAGTTGAGTTGTTTCAATTTGGAGTCTATAAGAAGGAGATCAAATTTGCAACAAATTTGCTTCATAACGCCAAGTCCCTTGAGCTGATGAAGATTGATCCTCGGGTTTCCAATTCATCGAGAGTTCCTTTTGATTGGGTGCAAAGTGGACGAGAGAAGACTATTCGACTGCTAAGAAAGGAAACTAGGCCAGGTATCAAGTTAGAAGTTGAATGAAGGTGATCTGTAAATAATCAAGTTAAGGTTTGAGGCAGTTTCATTTGTAAATCCACGACTTACATACTTGGGATAAATATTTTTACATGATTCTTACAGTGTAAGCACTCTTTATACTGAAAAGCGCAGAACAAAAAGCTCTGCTATTCTTGTTTTGCTCAGCACTTAACTAGAACGTCTGAAGTTTATGGATAATTAGTTCTTAGTTTTGAAATCTTCTGAAAACGGGCATCGTCTCAGTTTGCAGGTTTCTTCATTCTGTTCAAGGCGATTACTGTGATTATTTCATCTCAGTATGCAGGTTTTCTACTCTGGCATTTCTAATGAAACTCTGCCTGTAGCATGCTACCATTTTCTGCAGGTATATCATGTACGGTAGCTACTCTTCCTAATTATGAATATGGATATGAATACAAATATGATTTGACAAGGAAAACTTAAAAGTATGAGGAATTAACATATAAGATTGAAATATATATATATATCTTATAGCACAAGAGTTGTTTGGAGTTTAAAACAAAATACAATTCTCAAATACGTTTAACATATTTTCGAGATCCAGATATTTTACTTATATTCATGTTCTTATTCTTTTCCCACCAGAAATTAGGAAAAAGATATACATGTGTCCATATGCTACAGGATAACGATATTCAGTATCAAATTGTTAGGTAGATGAAAAGAGTTCTCAGGTTGCATAGGGTATAAGCGAGTCAATAAGGTTCACAATTACTGTTTAGGACTTCATCGGATTAAACACAAAAGAGCTGCTTCAATTTATTTGGCCTTCATCTCGTAAAGTACAAAAGAGCAGTTGGAAGTTTATGTTGAAAGTGCAAAATCTGTTATTTTTACGCTATAAACCTCCATTACAGAGAAATGCAGAAAGCTCTTTGGGGTTCAAGAGACAGATTGATTGAACACCATACTTGCACAATTCACAAACAATACACAAAAATTTTCAGGAATCAGGAATCAACATTTATTCTGCATACTCCTTTTCATTATTGGCATAAAAAATTATTCTGCATACTCCTTTTCATTAATGGCATAAAAAACTCCTTCCCATTATTGGCATAAAAACTACGTTAACTTCAGCAACCCTGATAACAGTGCATGAGGAACAACTGTTGTAGAATCCAACAAAATTTATCATCTGCCCTCTAAAAAATAGCTCCTTCCCGGAATAAAACTTAGTGATTTCCTGAATAAAACGGCAAAAGGTTTTGCCAGGCAAGAAAAAGACTCCAGAGAACTCAATTCAGAATGCCAAATCGTGCAAGTCATAATACAAGATATTGGTCATATCTGCTACATCACACAATCTAAATGATAACGGTGGCATTTGATCCATCATACATCCAAGTGACACAACTGATAAAATATCAGAAACCTTAAATGCTCCACTAATCAATTGGAACTTCGACATCCATCTTCAATTCAGAGTTGCCAAGAATCTGCATGGACACAGGAAAGTGTTACTGAAGAGAAATTATTCTAGATGAATAATGGATGCCTACGGATGGAAGTAAAAATGTTACTGAAGAGACACCTGTCTTATTATACAAAAACTGAGCTTAGACAATGAAAACAGTCCAAGTTGGGTTATTAAAAAACTTAATTCTCAATATGAAAAGTATGATAGTTACAACTGAAAACCATCAAAATGATAGAAATTCCTGACAATGATACCCAAAAAAACTTGCTGTATACAACCCTGGTTCAGATAAAAGAAATATGATTAAAGGGCATATGAAAGAGAGTCAAAAGTCAAAATGCATTGACTAGGAAATAGAGAGAAGAAAAGATGGTTATTGGGATATCTGTTTTGCGAATTTTCATTTCGGTGTGATATTATTAATTAGTAAAATTTGGGAACTTGTAACATTCAGTTTCAATATATACTTACAATAGGTGACATCGGCATAGAAACTACAGTTACCAATACAAGATATCACACATGGCATGTATAACATACCCACTTCCGTATACACTACAGTCAAAGCTACAAAATTTTCAGTTAACTTTGATTTCTCCATAGAAATGCGACTGAACAAAAGGACGCTATTTGGTAACTTGAACAACAGAGAAAAAATTTTATTTATTGCAGCTTTTATATAAATATAGTTCTTACAACTTTGGCCAGGATCTCTTGGTGCTTCACCAGATTAATATCTACACGACTTATCGCAAAATGTCAGCTGTGTTCAGATAAGGAGGGGAGTCTAGTTCTGCTCTGGTTTTTTAATTTGTTTGGCATAGGATTGAAGATTATCTGTTTAGGAGACATCATCAGATCAAAAGGAGTTAGACATAAAGTTTAATATCATTGTGAGTTAAACATAAAGTTAATAACATTGCTTAGTGAAAGTATTCAGATTTATCTGTTTGCAAGTTATTTTTCTTTCATTCAACAACTCAGATTTGTCGTTAGGTAACTGTTTTAGAATACAAAGACCAGGGTAAAAGTTTTTAACTCTTGCCTGTAAAACATAACCGACAAGGATGCAATCATTTTAACTAATGACTTGATTTAAGTTTTACTATGGGCTACAGTCGGGTGAAGCTTTTCTACTCCCATGTTCCATGGAAGCATATAGTGCATTTTGCTAAATAAATTAATTAAATTAAAAAAAAAATCAAATTCTAGCAGTAGAAAACTATAATTATAATCCAAAAGAAATAGTTGAATAGGAAGATTTTGAACATTTCAAGGGCTAATATTCACAAAACGATGTTACCTTCATGAAATCTGATAAAGCAAGTGAAGAATCCTTTGTATAGCCAGCTTCTTCTAGGACATGAGTCAGAACTTTCTAATAAAAAGAACCAAGTTAATGTAGATCTTAGAAGAAACACAAGCTTGCATGTTTCCAGCAAGTTTTATATGAAATAGCATAATGGAATATAATAAGGAACAATAGTCATCATACCAGCTACCAGAGAAAAACAGTAAGAAAGTTCACAAGTATAAAAGGAAGTAAGTATGTTAACATGCACATGATAGTTGGTGCATTAAATTTTTATATCTAGATTTAAATCATCCAAGATTTGTTCAATTAAGAACATTGGAAACCATAAGTTTCTGGATCCCCAACAAGAACACATTCAAGCAAATAGTGTAAGCGAACTAGAAGTTTGAGTCTCACTGAAATACAATGAACTTGGTCAAACAAACGATTATTATGAATGAAGCTTATGCCAATAGTCCATTTCTATCACATGAACACTTCCATTACTAAGAATTTCATACTAATTCATTGTCCAGCATAACATGCATTTATATCCATGTCAGGCATTTGGTTTGCACTTACATGAAATTATCTAATGAAATAATGCAGAATTTATACTCCAGCAGATCTTTTTATAGCGACACATATAAACTAGTTTTCCCTTATATGCACATGGATAGCAATTTAATTATTCATAAAGAGGAATTTTAATGTAATAATTGTTTGTATCGTTGTTGATTAACAGCTTGGAACACAAAACCTAATAATGACAGTCATACCCTTCTTCCTACAAAATGAAACCACAGGTTATTTTGAAGGCACGGGTTTTAGCACATGGTAGTCACATCAGAAGGATGAGGGACAGCTAAACCTTGGGCTGAGGGGAGGGCTAGGGTTTTCACTTTGATTCCTTTAGTTAATTAGTTGGTTTTAATCAATTTCAGACGATATTAGCTGGTTCTGGTAAGCTAGGGATGTTCTGACGATCCACCATGCCCAAATATAACCTAAAACCTCTAATACATAATGTAGCTTGGACATTGCCGTGACCAGAATGGAATGGACTACCTTGGTGCTGACAGATGCGTGTAGTAACACACGCACGCACACACAAGGTGCCTCACGTATATCTATGAGAGCATTGGTGCATGGGGGTGGTTGGGCGTGCGTGTCCATGTGCATGTGAGAATAAGATAGCAGAATTTATAAACATCGCCAACCTGCCTCTGTTGTTCAGTCATAAAAGATCCAGTCAGGTCGCGCAAGACACTCAACATATCGTTGAAGGCAACTTTCCCCTTGCAGTCCAAATCATAGACTTTAAATATAACTACATAAAAAACACATTCAAAATTAAAATAAATGCCATGATACGAACTATATATATATTTAGAAAAAATAAACGGTTACCACACATTCAATTTTCTGCTGCAGACTCGTGCGGGAACTGAATGCAGACAAGAACGCAACAAATTCCTTAAAGTTTAGGCCATCAAGCATCCTCAGTAATCTCTGGAACAAAGCTAATTAACTCCCATTAGTTTGTAATCCAAATTAAAAGAATACAAACATAAAGGGATAATTGCACTTTAGCACCCTCCACTTTCACCGATTTTTAACTTCAATACCCTAAGGTTTAAAATTTCTCCAAAAAGTACCCCAAAGTTTCACCACTATTAACTTTTAATACGTTCCATTACATTGGGCTCATGATTCTACTTAAAACAAAATCCCCCCCGAATCCCTTTCTTCCTCCTCCAACTATTCAGGGGATAAAAGTTACGAGTGTAGGAAAAACAAAAGATGTTAAAGTTGAACGTGGTGAAAACTTTGAGGAGTTCAGGGCATAAAAGTTATAAAAAGGGTAAAACTTTGGGGAGTAAATTGCAGTTAATACCCAAAGTTAAGCAAACCTGCGAGAGAGGATTGACAGCAAACTCCGGCACCGACAAGAACTCATCAGAAGATACGAATCCGCCGCCACTGCGGTCCAGCTGGCAGAATCGGTGGTAGAGCGACACGATCTCCTGCTGCGAGACTGAAAAATTTTCGCAAAATCGGCAACCGAGATCCAACAGAATACGAATCATTTAGATGAGATTAGGGTTTAGAGAGAAGGTTACAAGCGTGGTTGCAGTGCTCCTGGACCTCTTCGATGTCGTACTGAGTGAGCATCGACGATGTGTTCCCCATTAGAGAGAGAGGAGGAGGAGGATTAAGGGAGAATTTTGTGGGGGTTTAATTGTTGAGTTGAGCTCGAAACCCTAATTTCGCAATTAGAGGAGAAAGGAGACGATGAAATGGCGGTTGAGATCTCGGTCCCACTGCTAACCTGCGCCATTTGGGCGTGAGCAGGAAGTTGGCAGTTGAGTGGGGGCGGGTGGAAACTCGTTGAAGGAAATGGGCCGAACTTAATTTAACAAATCAGGGCAATAAAAAAGTCCAGGGAAACTTCAATGCAAATCGGGTCCCACTTTCCAGTAACTTATTTTGCTTGGACCTAATTAAAATGTCTTTTTTCTTTTTAAATAAAAAAGGTATAATAATGGCCAAATATCACAAGACCCACCCTTTAACTTTGGAAGATTATCAGATGACCCCCTAGCACTTTCAAAATTTCAGAAAACCCTCCATGAGTATCGGGGTTATCTGAAGACCCCTTCTAACTTTGACATTTTATCAGAAAACCCTTCCTATTTTGATAAAGTTTCAAAAGTAAAGGGGGTTTTCCGATAACCCCTAAACTTAAGATGTCACTTCAACTTTTTAACCCCTTCCCATTTCCCAAAATTTTTGAGAAAACAAAGGAGAAGTGAATTGAAAGAAGTGAAATTTTTAATATCCCCCCCATCATTTCTACTTTCCACTATTCATTTTGCAAAACAACCAGAAAATACGTGTAAAGAAAGTGGATGATATACATCAGTTGTCACCTCAACTTTCTACATTTCACTTTCTAACCTCCAAACAGTATTTGAAAAAAAAAAACTTATGAGGAAAAGCACTTTCTCTCACTTTCTATTTTCCATTCCTTTCCCTGTTGCCAAACACCCCTTGTACTGAGCTAACAACCTTTGATATAACAGCACCAAGAGAGTTTTATCTCGAATTCCAGAATACAACATGAATCATTTTCTTGCATTCAGTTGTGTTTATAGGCATCCCACCACTCATCATTCATCAACCATACCGTTTCAAGATTCGTTCGAAAATATTTAAGTTTTGTGCCTTCTATCGAACTGCCTGATGCAAATGTTCTTATTTGTCATAACAAGGCACTAAACACAGCACCATTATCACTCAACTGTTAATATATTACACGATATATTCTCAACCAATACAACTGATAACATACCACAAAAAAACATCCATGGAGCACGCGTATGTACTGTGTGGTTCTATAGTTCGACATCGATAACGTATCAAATATTACGCTGACAGAAGCTTTTGGATATCCTTCTGCAATACAAGGAAACAAGCATGAATAATAAATTGTACAATGAGAAGCTTGCATTCATTTAAGTCATGTGTCCTGATGGTCATCTTAGATCACACTACGTACCTCGATCTGGAAAGGTGAAGTTGTCGGTGGGTACCTTTCGACAACCTTACCATTTTTGTCCACCAAGAACTTCTCGAAGTTCCACTTGATAATATCGCCTAAAAATCCTCCAGCACTTGACTTGAGAAACTGATATACCGCAGCAGTGTTTGGTCCATTCACATCAACCTGCAAGAAACAAAAAATAATTTTAGTATACAATCCCACGATCCAACACGGTGCAAAGGTAACAATTCTCTATAAAGGTTTTAGGTTGGTGGTAATGCATGTCAATGAAAGAGAGAGGATTTTTCGATATTTGTCCTCCAATTCTTAAGTTATTTTGAAATTAGTCCTCAAATCATTGAAATTGGTATTAGTTCTCCAATTCTCATAAGTTGTTTCAAATTAATCCCCAAATTATGAGAACCGGGGGACCTAATATTAATTTCTATGACTTAAGGGGCTCTTTTTAAAATAACTTAAGAATTGAGGACTTCGTAGCAATTTAAATGATTGAGGGTCTAATTTCAAAATATGAACGATTTAATGCCCCTACATCAAAAAACACAGAGAAAATAGGATGGAGTACCTTGTCAAAAATTGGGAATTCAGCTTTGAATCTCGTACAAGCAAACTGCTTTATATCTGTATTTGATCCAGGCTCTTGTCCTCCAAACTGATTGCAGGGAAAAGCCAAGATCTCAAAGCCTGATGGAAACAGATCAGTTTGATAATAAGGCTAACGGCTTATTTGTCATGTGTTGAGAAACCCCAAGCTAAAAAAGATGTGTGCAAGTATGCACCCAAGACTATCTTAATAGCACAGATTTTACTCGTGTAACAGGGTACAAGAAAGAAATCACCAATAGTATCCTAACCTTTTCAGTCAAGTGCAGGAAGTCATTAATCACAAAGTTGCATCAATACGGATGTAGGATACAGATACAATAAGAAGGACATGAAAACAAAAGTAATGCAAACTAGGGTACTAAATACATTGTGGACACAATGTGCACGTGTATCTGCATGTGTATATGTGCGCGCGCATGTACACGGGCATCTACACGACCGAATGCTTGCATGCCTCTATGTGTGCGCCTACACAAGTAGATGCACGCATGCATACACTTGTGTGAGGGTGCCATTAACATATTAATGTTAAAAATGTTTAAATAAAAAATATATCCTGACATCATAAAGTAATTTACCAAAGTTAATAATTGTCTAATGATAACCATCCTTAATACAGGATATAACTACGCATTAGCATATGAAAAATCATTAATTAATTTTGTGATTTTGTGATAATATACTTTAACATGTTATCATCGTTGAGAGAAAAAAATAAAGGGAGAATTGTGTCAAGGCCCAAAAAGTAAAACCTTCGTGTGCTGCAGCCCCTCCATTTTTTTCCATGTGGTTCAGCCCAAAGAAATGTCACATTATGTGCTGCAACCTTTTTTCATGTAATTATCATGCAACTAAGCACAAAGAGAGAGAAACAAACATAAAAGCCCAAAATGCCATCATTTCCTCCTCCCTCTTCGTTCTCTCCAGATCTATCACGTTAGGTCCAGTTTGGTTCATGTTAAGTCTAATTTAATTCCTTTTAAGTCTAACTTAAATCATATTACGTCTAATTCAACTTGAATTAGGTTCAAAAATAAGTTGAATAAGAGTTAACACGAATCATGTTAAGTCTAATTTAACATGTTTTAAGTCTAATTTTATGTTAAGTCCAATTTGATTCATATTAAGTCCAATTTGATTCATGTTAAGTCTAATTTAAATCATGTTATGTCTAATTCAATTTATTTTAAGTCTAAAATAAGTTGAATTAGACTTAACATGAATCATGTTAAGTCTATTTTAATTTATTTTAAGTCTAATTTCATGTTGAGTTTAATTTTGCTTCATGTTAAGTCCAATTTGATTCATGTTAAATCTAATTTAATTACTTTTAAGTCTAATTTTAATCCAGTTTAGTGTTAAGTCCAATTTAATTCATGTTAAGTCCAGTTTGGTTCATGTTAAGTCCAGTTTGGTTCGTGTTAAGTCCAGTTTAAATCATTTTAAGTCTAATTTAAATCGTTTTGAGTCTAATTTAAATCTTATTAAGTTTAATTAAATTATTTTAAGTCTAATTTAAATTAGACTTAACATGAAATTAGACTTTAAAAAAAAAACTTAACATGGATTATATGTTAAGTCCAATTCGGTTCATGTTAAGTCCAATTTAAATCATGTTAAGTCCAATTCCGTTTATGTTAAATCATGTTAAGTCAAATTTGGTTCATGTTAAGTCCAATTCGGTTTATATTAAGTCTAATTTAAATCATGTTAAGTCTAATTTAACTTGTTTTAAACCTAATTTCATATTAAATCTAATTTAGTTGATGTTAAATCTAATTTAATTTCTTTTAAGTCTAATTTAAATCATGTTATGTCTAATTCAACTTGTTTCAAGTCTAAAAACAAGTTGAATTAGAATTAACATGAATTACATTAAGTCTAATTCAACTTGTTTTAAGTCTAATTTCATATTAAATCCAATTTGATTCATATTAAGTCTAATTTGGTTCATGTTAAGTCTAATTCGATTCATGTTAAGTCTAATTTAATTCTTTTTAAGTCTAATTTATATCATGTAATGTCTAATTTAACTTATTTTAAGTCTAAAAACAAGTTGAATTAATCATGTTAAGTCTATTTCAACTTATTTTAAGTCTAATTTCATGTTAAGTCAAATTTAATTCATGTTAAGTCTAATTTTAATCATGTTAAATTCCTTTTAAGTCTAATTTAAATCATGTTAAGTCTAATTCGACTTTTTTTAAGTCCAATTTCATGTTAAGTCCAATTAAATTAGACTTAAAACAAGTGAATTAGACATAAACATGATTTAAATTAGACTTAAAAGGAATTAAATTAGACTTAACATGAATTAAATTGGACTTAACATGAAATTAGACTTATAACAAGTTGAATTAAACTTAACATGAATTAAATTAGACTTGAAAAATATCGAATTAGACATAACATGATTTAAATTAGATTTAAGTCTAATTTAAATCATGTTAAGTCTAATTCGACTTTTTTTAAGTCCAATTTCATGTTAAGTCCAATTAAATTAGACTTAAAACAAGTGAATTAGACATAAACATGATTTAAATTAGACTTAAAAGGAATTAAATTAGACTTAACATGAATTAAATTGGACTTAACATGACATTAGACTTATAACAAGTTGAATTAAACTTAACATGAATTAAATTAGACTTGAAAAATATCGAATTAGACATAACATGATTTAAATTAGATTTAAAATGAATTAAATTAAACTTAACATGAATTAAATTAGACTTAAAATAAGTTAAATTAAACTTAACATGAATTAAATTATACTTAAAACAAGTTGAATTAGACATAACATTATTTAAATTAGACTTAAAAGGAATTAAATAGAACTTACCATGAATTAAATTGGACTTAGCATGAAATTAGACTTAAAACAAATTAAATTAGACTTAACATGAATTAAATTAGACTTGAAACAAGTTGAATTAGACATAACATGATTTAAATTAGACTTAAAAAAGAATTAAATTAAACTTAACATGAATTAAATTGAACTTAACATAAAATTAGACTTTCATGTTAAGTCTAATTAAACTTGTTTTTAGACTTAACATGAAAGAATAGAGGAGATAAGGGTATTTTGGGGGGTTTTATTTTTTTTATTCTCACTTTATACTTAGTTGACAGGTAATAATTGCTAAAAAAGGGTTGTAGAACATAGATCTTAAATTTAAAGGGCTAAAACACATGTGAAAAAGTCAAAGGGGCTGCAGCACATGAAATTTTTACTTTTGGGGCATTGACACAATTTTCCCAAAAATAAACATTAATGCTAATGCATTTAAAAATTGCGAACTTGCAGACTGTTTGTTGTGTACTACATCATTGTAGCAAACTTTTTTGCAATTTTATAAAGTTCTATTTTTTTAAAAAAAATTTGTGATCCTCTTTCCAGAAAGTGTTTAAGACTAACGTATAAAAGATGTCATGTCATGCTATTCTGCATATAATTCTCACATTACTAACCAAATCAGTAGAGCCATGTAAGATTTGCTACTGTAAGATTTGCTACTGCTCATGCATTATGAGCAGTGTTTAAGACTAATGTATAAAAGATTTGCTACTGTAAGATTTGCTATTGTAAGATTTAATGACAGTAATTATGATATGTGGCATAAAAAATAGGATATGCTCTAATCCATGACAATATTGATGACGTAATCAAAACCACCGTTCTAACCCTTACTGATAAATCAACATCTGAAGAAAAGAAATGGTTTGAACAGTGAAAATCGAAAGATAAAAATGCGAAAAGCCTTATGCTCATGTTCATGGAAGATAATTTGATCAAAGTTTTTGAAACTCATAAGACTTCCATGGACATGTGGAATGCAATAAAAGAAAAATACGATACCGCCTCTGAAGTTAACATTCAACTACTCCTGCATAAGTTTAATTCTTGTCGTATGTAAGAGGGAGACAATGTTGTAGAGCATATAAATAAAATGATTGTTATGGCTAATGACTTATCCACTGCTGGGACCGAAATCCCAGAAAGAATGCAAGTGGCAACCATTTTGAACAATCTACCCTCTTCCCTTGCTGTGGTTGCCATCACATTGAGAATGAACCCTGCCATTAAGTCTGTCACTGATCTTCCTATGCACTAGCGATAAAACATGACTTAATAGCTAGTAGGAAAGAACCATAACTGAATATGGTACAACATGGGCTGAATTATGTCCGCTAGAGGTATAATACTAAAAACTATAAAAACTCTGGTCCTAGTAAACCACAATCGTGAGGACCGAAGTCACAGCGGTTCAAGAAAAAGAAAGTATCTCCGCGAAGTCTGCTACAATTGTGGAAAGTTCAGGCATTTCAAGCCCAATCGCCCACAAGGTGAAAAGCAAGAGAATAAGGAAGATTACAAGTATCCACAACAAGGGGGTACTAGCAAAAGAGAATTCGTCGGTGTGACGGAATACAATGCTGTGATGACGGATATTAGCGGTTGGTGGATCGACTCCGGTGCTTCTAGGCATATCGCAAAGGACAAAAATAGAGTCACAGAATTCACCGAGCTGAAGAAAGGAGAATAGAGAATCTATATAGGAAATAATACGTATCTCAATGTAGAATGTATTGATTCGTATAGATTGGATCTTGGGAACAACATTCTTGTCCTTAAAGATGTGTTCTATGCGCCTGGAATTCGGCGCAATCTGATCTTTGTTCCCAACTTGATGAAGAAAACACTGGAAGTTAGGTTCTATAATAATCGGGTTTCTATAGGCAAGAATAATAAAATGTATGCTATGGGAAAATATGTGTCCGAACATGAATTATGCATGCTTTCAGTAGTTTGTAATAATTCTGATAATGAAATTTCGAATTTGAATTACTTGTCCTGTTATTTTTCTAAGTCTGAATTGTGACATTCTAGACTAGGACATGCTAGTATTTCAAAAATAAAAAAATTATCAGAATAAACTTGCTTCCTGCACTATCTAATGTTCAATTGTCACCATGTGAACATTGTTTAACTGGTAAAATGATTAGAAAACCTTTCACTGGCGGACAAAGAGCCAATGAACTTTTAGGGTTGATACACTCGGATATTTGTGGTC